CCGGCCGCGCCCCGAGAGCCGGCGCACCCCGGCGCTGCGGGGCCTCGGCGGGGGCGCAGGCTTCTCTGGGCTTCCGTTTCCACGTCTTTGGGTGACCGCGAAGCCGCGAGGAGTCCGGCGGGCCCCGTGCTCGCGCTGAAGGCTCCAGGCTAAGCCCCAGCGCCCCGGAGTCGGGGTGTGCCAGGCACTGCAGGTTGGGGCACGGGCCCTGCGCTGCCGCTGCTGCTGCACCTGCACCTGCACCTGCACTTAAGCTCGGGCGCAGGGGTCCAGGCGATTTTTGCCCGCGCTTTGGCCGCTGCAGGAGTAGCAACAGCAGGGTCCCTGGACCCCAGACTTCTCGCAAGCCCCAGACCCGCTGCAGGCCTCGGTGTCCTCTCTCTGAATGTCTAAGGTTGTCTCCAGGAGCAAATGAACATGTGTAACGCGGGGCTTACAGCAGGCGCGCTATAAGCGGCGCCTCGTTTTTCGTGCTTACAGCCAAAGCCTCTGTCCACTAATTTGCTTGTTCGAACCTCCACAAGCACGTCCCAGCCACACAGGTGCCCCTGGTAAATAAATGCCGAGGGAGCCACGGTGATAAGCACGGCCATCTTCTGCAGGCAGACGGCCGATGGTGTCCCTTTTCACAGGCGAGAAAACTGAGGCGGCTGTGAAGTGACCCGCACAAGGTCACACGGAGCAGGTGACAGGGACAGGGTCCTGATTCTGCCTGTGTCCACACCCCGGCGAGGCCACCAAGTCACTCGCACAGAAGGGTCACCTGAAGGGTCAGACTTGGACCTTCAGGCAATAGGCCGCCAGCCTGACGCCTGGAAGGAACCTGGGCCCAGGCGGCATTCTACACGGCGGAAGCGCACGGGCTGGAGTTCGGGTCATTCCACGTCGCGGGGTACAGAGGGCAGCCAGCGGGGCTCGGCGCGGAACGCAGCCCTGCGCCTTTAAATGCGGAGTTGGCGGCGGACCCCGCCCCCGAGGACGCGCACGGGCCCACGAGGGGGCGGGGCCAGCCCGCCATTGGCTGAGTCGCGCACGCGTCAGCGTGCCTGCGGGTCGCCGGCCGCGCCCGGGCTTCGGCGTTCGGTTCTCGGGTCCTCCCCGGCGGGTGCGGACTCTGGGGCCCGAGTGGACCTGTCGGTGCGCTGAAGGCGCGACGCAGGTATGGCTGGGGCGTGGCGGGGCGACCCCGGCCCCCTAGCCCGCGGCTCGAGCGTGCTGCGGGCGCAGATCGGGGGCGTGGCCTCCGCGGGGGGCCGCGGTCACGACTGGAAAGGGGTGGCCAGGCCGGAGTTCGAGTCCCCGACGCCGCCCCTCCCGTCTGCACGGCAGCACCCCGGTTCCCAGGACGTCCGTGCTCTGCGCTGTGAACCGGCCCTGACGGCCCGCCCGGGCCACCCGCCCAGTCCTCGCTCGCCCTTGTCAGCCGTTGGGCAGAGGGGGAGGACGGGCGGCATCCCGGGCCGGCGGGGCCCAGGCCGCCCAGTCGGGCTATTTTTAACCACCCCACCCTGTCCCCCTTCCCCGACTTGGAAGGCTGTAGGTTGACACTTGTGCGACCCCGCCAAGGAGCTGAGTCCCCGTGTAGACCCGGGTGGGGGGGTATTTAACTCTGTAGTGTGCAGAGGGTTTCTGGTCCTGCTGGAGGTGGCGGCGGTATCGATTCGCGATGAGGACACGAAGCCGAAGGGCGACGGCGGGTCACTGAGCTGAGAGCCCTCTTGTCTTATTTTTAGTCCGGAAGAGTGGGGGCTGGGGGCGGAGTGCTGAGCCCGAGTTCCAGTGCCTCGGGTTTCAGCTGTTCCAGGCATCCTGTCACTTGGCATCTGAGCCCAGGCACCCGGAGCAGAGCCCCGGGCAGACGTCCTTGGTGCCCACTTTGGCTCGAGCTTGGTCATCTGCTCAAGCGTCTCCCAGGTATAGGACTGGCTCAAGCTTGCCCCTTGGTCGCACACCTCCTCGCTCAAGGACTGCACCCATGCCCCAGCACCTGAAGCTGGGCCCGAGGACTGGCCCAGGGAGAGGTGTGTCACACTTCTGGCCCCTCAGTTCCAACCCTTCGTCACCACCAGTAGACTGTGCAGTTGTAGTTGAGCAGAGGGCGTGAGTGTTTTTCTCAGCTTACCTTCTCTGTCGTTTAGACTCCTGGTAACTCCCCCTGGCCCCCACAGTCCCAAGTTGGAGACCCTGAGAACTGTGGCTCGTCCTGTGGGTCAACCACTGGTTGGGGTCCTCATCTTAGAGTTGCATTGACGCCGGCCCCCATAGCAGGGCTTCTGCTTGTACTGGCGCGCACCTGTCCACAGGCAGCTGGCAGTCCTTGGGTCATCTCACTTGCCCTATTGACTTAGAACTCTGCTTTGTTAGGATTTGGGGCCTTTGATCTTCAGCAATATCTTCCAAAGATCTGACAGGCCTTCTGGAGACAGGCTTCTGGAGCCCCCAAGTTGTGGTTTTCTCTGGGCCTTGATTTTCTTTCTGGGCCCAGCCCTGGCTAGGAACAAAAATAAGGCAGCCCCAAGGACCTAGCCAGGGGGACTGGTCAGACCCTGGGAGTAGGCAAAATTCTAGAGGCTTCACGGTCTGCAACTCACTGTTTGGTTCTTTCTGCAGCTTTTCTCTATAATGTGGGGGATCTACTTCTTGGGTCTTTTGTTGATGTGATGTCAGGAGCCCTGGAGGGTGAGATTAGGGGAGATGGGCTTCTTCTCTGACCTGCCATGCGGTTTGGGACTTTTCTGTGTGAGCTCCCCTATCCAAGGGGTGGGTTGTTTGTAGCTTTGGGGGAGGGGGCATGGGCAGTTCCTCCTCTTCTCCTAAGAAAGCATGTGTGTGGTCCCTTTCCACTGAGAAACCCTCAGGAACCCTCCCTGTGGGGCTCACCTCTCAGAGATCCCAAGATGGCAGCCAGCATGTCTCCCTGCTCCTACCCTGCTGCCATTCTGGGCACCCCCACCTTGAGCTATCCCTTCACCTTGACTCTCTCACAGGCAGACCATGGCAGAGTTCACCCAGAAGCGGGGGAAGTGGCATGATGATGAGGTGCTGGGCAACGCTGTGGACTTCCTCCTGGCCAATGCCCGCCTAGTGCTGGGTGTGGGTGGGGCTGCCGTGCTGGGCATTGCCACCCTGGCTGTGAAGCGGGTAAGGTCTGACCCTGCCCTGGGGTTTTCAGGCACCGGAGGGCTGGGAGGAAGATGGTGGGGACTACCCAAGGCTGGTACCTACTTCTCTACTCTGTGCCCCAGGGTTCTGGTTTGTTTCACCCCGCCTTTGCCTGGGCTGCACCTTTCTGAAGCTCTGATCTGTGTCACTCTGCCTGCAGCTCATCGACAGGGCCACCAGCCCGAGGGATGAGGACGACGCCAAGGGGGACACCACGCGCCTGGAGGACAGCTGGAAGGAACTGAGCCTGCTCAAGCCCACGCCACGCCTACAGCCCCGGCCTCCCCCTGCTGCCCTCAGCCAGCCCGTGTCACTCCCAAGCCCCGCATCCTCTGCCCCAGGTGACCAGCACCCTTCCCCCTTTTACCTGGGTGGGTCCCCCTTGAGTGGTCACATTCAGGAGATGCAGCCTGGGCTCTGCCATTGATGATGCTGGGGGCCCCTGCTTCTCCAAAGCCCCGAGCTCTGCCCCTGTTCAGGGGCGGCGTGTGCCTGCCCTCCTTTCCCCGGTTGGTGCTGAGGCTCCAGCCACCTGGACACGTGGACTGTGGGGGGTGGTGCCAGAGCATTTTAGGGTGTTAGGGACTCCAGGTGGGGAAATGGAGGGCCAGGAGCCAGCTCCTCGCGTTGCATGAAGTGGTTTTATTCCCAGCAAATTGGGTAAGAATTTGTCATCATATGCATACTTTTTGGGGAGCTGAAGAACTAAGTGTTGTCTTAGCGGGTCATTTCTCAAGATAATGAAGCCCAGAGATATCATCACATAGCTAGCAATTGGGTAGAGTTCTTGGGACTCATTAGGGACCTCCTCACTGGCCCCTGACCCTTCACTCTGCAGGGAGGCCCAGAAATGCCGTTCCGCAGACGTCACCTCATCTTCGCTTCCCAGCACCACCGTGCCTGACGTTCCAGGAGAAGCTGCTGGCATTTGAGCGGGACCATGTGGCCACCCCAGCTTCCCATGTTGCTCTGGCCAAGCAGCTTGCTGGTGACATTGCCCTTGAATTGCAGGCCTACTTTCGGAGCAAGTTCCCAGAATTGCCCTTTGGGGCACTGGTGCCCAGTGGTCCACTCTACGATGGGCTGCAGGCAGGAGCCGCTGACGATGTGCGTATCCTGGTGCCCCTGATGCTGGAGCCAGGTCTGTGGAGCCTGTTGCCTGGCCTGGACACTGTGGCCAGGGACCCTCGCTGCTGGGCTGTGCGCAGGACTCAGCTCGAGTTCCGCCCCCGGGGGAGCAGCCCCTGGGACCGCTTCCTGATCGGTGGCTATCTCTCCTCCCGCGTCCTGCTGGAGCTGCTCCGCAAGGTGCTGGCTGCCTCCGTCAACTGGCCGGCCATTGGCGGCCTCCTCGGGTGCCTGATCCGGCCCAGTGTGGCCTCAGAGGAGCTGTTGCTCGAGGTGCAGCATGAGCACCTGGAACTCACTATCGCTGTGCTCTTGGCCGTCACTAGCACCAGCGTCGAAGACGGCCTCCTTCTGGCCTGGCCCCTGGAGGGGATGGCAGGGAACCTCTGGCTGCAGGACCTGTACCCGGCAGAGGCTGCCAGGCTTCGGGCTTTGGATGAGCGCGATGCTGGGGCCCGGCGGCGGCTGCTGCTGCTGCTGTGTAGTATCTGTCGTGGCCACCCAGCTCTGGGCCGGCTGGGTCGGGGCCACCTGACCCAAGTGGTTCTGCGTTTGGGGGAAGAGGAGATGGACTGGGCCGAGGGGGCCTTGAGGGAGCGTTTCATGCAGGCCCTGGAGCTGCTCATTGGAAGCCTGGAGCATGCCAACCTGCCCTGTCACTTCAACCCGGGTGTGAACCTCTTCGGCAGCCTGCGGGAGGTAGAGATCGATGACATCGGCTACGCGCTGTACAGCGGCCTGCAAGCCCCGGAGGGGCTGCTCTAAGGTGGGGACAGGGAGGCCAGCCTGTGTTCTGATGCTGGCGAGCTGTGCACACTCCTTCCAGGGGTTTGGAGAGCACATTTTTTTTCCTTCTTGCTTTTAGCCAGAATAAATGAGGGTGTGCTACGTAAGCCCACAGGATTAGCATGAGCTGAGGGTGAGTCAGTGGAGCCCTGGGCCTGGAGAGCTTGGGTTGCTGTCACCTAAGTGCACCTGGGCTGCCACCTAGGCAACCTGGAAGTCTGGCCGCCCACACTTGCCTCCCAGCCCTGTGGCCTCAGGACCCTGGGCTCTGTCAGTTGCCACCAGCAGAGAACCACTGACAGAACATGACTTCTGCTGCCTTCAGTTTTCATTTGAGAAGGTGGGTTAATGCTTCCTCAGGTGCCAGCTCCTGGTCACTCATGGCCCTGGTGCTGAATGGTAAATACCACGTTTGATTCACCCCCGAGGGCCAGAGTCACCTAGTACCCCTAGGATGCAGCGTTTTGGCTGATTCAGCTGAAGACTGGCATTTTCCAAGGGCATCTGTCTGGTTTGCTTGTCAAGCTCTTTAGGCTAGAGCTGGCACTCAGCCTGACATGCTGCCTACCTCCTACCTCGGGGGAAGGCCCCTCTCCCTCCAGTAGGGCGTTTCTTTTGGGCAGCAGTTTCCTGGAAGGGCCCCCTTGCCCTGAGCCTAGAGTCCCACCGGCTGCTAGTGGGCTGGAGAAGAGGCTGCACCCTCCGGGGAAGGCCTGGTGGGCAAGGGCAGCCTCCATGGTGCCAACAGAACTGCGCTGTGTGCTCACACCTGGCAGAGGTGGGGGAAGGGAGGAGGCTGCACCTGCCCTTCCAGGTGTCCCTATCTTTGGTAGCCTTCCTGCCGAAGCAAAGCTATGCCTCAGAGAATGTGAATGCGAATAAAAGGGAAAAAAATCAAACATGTGACGAGTGCTGAGCTCTCAAGGGCAGTTGTTTGGAGTCTGCAAGGCCTGTGGCTTGGCTGGAGGGCCTGGGCTCTACCTGGAGGTGGTAGGATTTAACTGGAAAAGCAGGTTTCATGGAGGTAGAGTTCCCAATAGGATGTCTTGCTTTAATAATGGGAACCAACGGCTAAGGCTTTTCCCTTTTCCAAAGTCTAAATTCTCGTGCCCCCTCTACTTTCTGGGGTGGCCTCAAAGCCCTCCAGCCAGCATCACCAGCTCTCAGCAGTGGGATGTTTCTACTTCCCTTACAGCCCTGTGTGTTGGGGGCAAGTTCCCCACCTTGCACAGACAGGGCAGCAGGTATGGCTGGAGGAGCCACAGGTGGGACTCACTTCCCCTATGACCCGCCTCCAGGCCGTGCACTTGGGATGAGGCCACATTTGTGCCGTTCCCACTGTGCCTCTTTCCCATCCTGTTCTATTTCCTGCAGTGACCCCACACTGCTTCCAGCTGTGACAAGGGACAGGATGGATGTCTGTGTCCTCAGGGCAGTGTCACAGAACAGATGAGGGGCTTGTGTGCACCATGGCTGCAAAACCGGGGGAGGCAGAAGGGTGTTGACACCTTGGTGCTTCACAGAGGCTATAGATGGTCAAAGGGAAACAGTGGCTAGCAAGGGCCACACACGTGGCGTCACAGAGCAGCTGTCATGGCAGCTTAGGGTTTGCAGGGGAACAGTGGCTGAGCCTTAGTGTTCTCATGAGTGAAACGGGGGTTGTATCCTATGTATTCCACGGGGCAGGTGTAGCAGCCACTCGTACGACTACTGAACAGTGTTAACTGCCCTCAGAATGAGATCGCTGTGCCTTGTTGACCGACGCCACAAAGCCTGAACACAGCAAGGGCTGGGCTGCCAGGCCTGCCTGTGACCACGTCTGCTCCTTGGTCACCTCCTAGCAAGGCCTGGCCTCAGGGAAGTGAGGTCCGCTCAGAGCCTGACAGCCAACCCCAACAAGGGCCTGATGCAGCTCCTCCGTGAGCCTCTTGCTTTAGGGGGCTCTGATGTTCCCCTCACACCTTGATTTTAAAGACCAGGATGAGTTAAGAGGGAGAGAAAGCTAAACGTCTGAGGCTTCCATTTCTAGTCAAGAAAACTGGAAACTAATCATTTTCCGGAGCCTCTGCAGACTCCTGTGTGCAGGGCTGTGCCAGCGCACGGCCCTGCTGGTTCCACTCCTTTTTAACCCAAGAACAGTTCCAGCTCTGTCTGCCTGGGATGCACCAGATGCAGCCGCAGCCCAGGACCTAAACATTTTAGTACTTAGACCCCTGGATTATGGTGGCAAACAGCGACCCACACATCCTTGGTTTACCTTAACAAAGTGACCAGAAGCAGTTCTGGTGACTGTGGTACAGCTGACTCCACCTGCTCAGAACAAAGGACTATTTACTACCACTGCAGGTGAACAAAAGTAATGCAAGAGTGGCAAACAAGCTTCCTCGGTAAAACATCACCATCAATCCTCCACACTGACTCAAGAATAAAGCTCACCGTATATAAGATGCGCCCATACTTGGGGAAGTCCACTTGTAAGCCCTTCTCTTCACGAATACTTCACTGTAGGGAAGTCTGCCTCCTGCAAGTGGGGGTATCACCCAGCCCCCAGGAGCTGACTGACCATTTGTTTCCATCTTGATACTAAAAAACAACGAAGTCTTGAAGATAATCTGTACACAGATTTTCTCATTAAGAGAGTCCTGGGAATGGAGCGTGTTCAAATGCTCAGATTCTGAAGGACCCTGTCAAACTGCATTCTAAGAGGACTTACGTCAGCAGGCCTGAGGATCACTCCAAGGCACTGAACTGTAACTGGTGGGCCTGGAGCAGAAGAGAAACTGGCCCCATGTTTGGGAGCTGCAAGCACACGTGAGCTCCGTTACTGCTCACTGTAATCTTTCACAGGTGATTACTTTCAGTAGCAATGGGGTACGAATCATGTGCCCACCAGCAAAACCTGTGTTTGGGGCACAACACATCACTGTGAGCAGTCAGGTCAGCATCAGCTCAGGAGCCACCTGGCCCAGAGACCCTAAGGCACCAGAACCTCTCTTCAGCAACAGCCCATGCTAGCATGCAAGGCTCGCTGTGGTCTCCAGTGGGTCCCTTCTCTTCAGATGGGACTTAGGTGGCCGTGAGGTAGAGTCTCAGAGTCCCTGGGTACAGACTCAGAGCTTGCAGGGGCTCTGGAGCACACGTGTGCCAGCTTGGACAGAAGGGTGCTGGGATCCCCGTGGGTCCAGGGGTAGGGCCACTGTTCCGTCAAGGCCCCATTCTCTCTGAAATTAGGAAACTTCAACCTAGAATCAACCACACATTTGCATTTTTCAAAAGTATGTTTTTCTCCTGTAATCAGAAAACTAAGCTTTAAATACGCCCAATAACATTACAATTGGGGTACATTTAATTCATTGAGAAGTTACAGCTGCAGTGGCTGAACCCCAAAGGTGTATCCCTGAGCACATCATGCGCGATTCTGGGTGCTGGCTGGATCGCCAGTGCACGCTGCTGGCCAGTTTCCTAGGCTCGTGTGATGTCATGGCCTCTGAGCTCTCACCCCCAGCAACGCTGGTGGGCTAAGGCACGGGAAGGCACCCACACCGTCCCTCACAAGGAGCACCCAATGTGAGCAGAGCCTGCACCACCTTTGTAGTCTGGAACTCAGATACTGTACATCCTGATGGAGTCTGGGTACTTCCACGCCGACAAGCCCTCTGAACTCACCCCTAAGGGTAGCAACGGGGTCTCTGCTGGCATCCTGAGAGCTGGTGCCTAATTCCAGCAAGCCAGGACCGACACTGGAAGCAAAAGCCAGCTGCCAGGGAAGATGACTTATTTTTAGCTTCCACCTGCTCCAAGAGTAAGACGGCAAAGCCCCTCACCATCAGCAGCTGTGCTGGCCAGCTGGGCCGCCACCAGTTAGTTGGATGGCGCTCTTAAGTGTGCCCAGGGTGGCTCCCCCTCAGCACAGGGAGAGGAATGGGCTTTCCAAGAGCTCTGAGGTGTCGCCATGACAGCAGAGGCTCATTTTCAATTCCAGCTGGCTGCTGTGGAAGGCGCGTCCCATGGGAGGCTGTTCCCATCACCACATGGGCAGAAGGCGTGGCTGTGGAAGGTGGGAGGCTGAGCGAGCCAGCCAGCGACCGGCCGGGTTGGGCTCAGCACGTAGAGGTCGTTTTCGCCACTGTCTGGCGCTACGTAAGCTGCAGCTGGAGTTCAGTAGAGGGGTTCAGCCCTTCCCAGTCACGGAAGGAGCCGTTTCTCACTGCACTGACTGCGGTGAGCCTGAGAGGCCATCAACACTTGGAAATTCTCTCAGGGGTTTTATGACATTCTCACTGCAACTGAGTGTGACTACAACACTCCACCAAAAAGCCTCAGCTCAACAGAAATCCTATTGCAGATGAGGCCGTGCAGGCTCAGCGGAGCCTGGGGATGGAGTCTGAACCTGAGCAGGTCTGTCCTTCATCCCATCCAAGCCCGCCGTTCTCAGTCTCAGCACACACACGTTACCTGCGGAAAGATCAAAATCCACAAATGCACTGAGATTCTATAAAGAACTGCAACTCAACGAACAAAAGACCAACAATCCAACTGCAAAATGGAAAAGGACTTGAGTAGACATTTCTCCAAAGGAGACACATCAATGGCCAATATACCAATGAGAAGATGCTCATTAACACCACCATGAAATGTCATTTCATGCCCACAAGGATGGCTACAATACACTTTTTTTTTTTTCAAAAAGTAAGAAGGGCTGGCAAGGGGTGTGGAGAAACAGGACCCCATGTGTTGCTGGTGGAGATGCGAAACAGTGCAGCTGCAGACAGTGGTTCCTCAGGAAGTTAACCAGAAATACCCTCTGACCCAGCAATCTGCGCCTGGTAAAGTGCCCACAAGAATTTAGAACAGGCATTCAGATATGCACACGCTGTGCTCAGAGCAGCCAGAGTGGACACAACCTCCACGGAGTATTACCCAACCCCAAAAACCCAGTGCCGATGCCACTCCCTTATCTGCAGTTTCGCTTTCCTTGGTAGCAGCTACCCGTGGCATGAAAAAATATATACAAGATGCTTTGAGAGATCACACTCATGTACCTTTTATTACAGTATACAGCTATAATGTTTCTGCTTTATTAGTAGCTATTATTGACCTCCTACTGTGCCCAATTTTAAAATTAAACCATCATAGGCATGTAAGCATGTATAGAGTCACAGTATGAACAGGGTCAGTCCTATCTGCAGTTTCAAGAACCCCGTGGGCAGCTGGGGTACCCCCACGAATACCCTTCTATACTGACACATGCTAAATGCAGATGAACCTTGCAAATAACATGCTAAGTGTAAGAAGCCAGGCACAAAAGATCACATAACCTAAGTCTCATAAAATAGGCAAAATCACAGAGAGAATGTAGCTGTAGGGTTGCCACAATGCAGAGCACGGCCACACCCATGGGCCCTGAATCTTGCCCTTCAGCCCAGGCAGGGCCACTGCTCAGACTGAAGGGTCCAGCGTGGGAGTCCCAACACAGGAGGCCAGATCACCTCTTCCCCACTGGCCATGGGACTCGGGGCAATCCACACCTTACCTCTGTTTATTTTCCTGAGCATCAAATGGAGCCAATATGGTTAAACATTACAAGGTTTTGTGAAGGCAAATGGGAAAGTCCCCCCCTCTGGATCGGGCAGGTGAACAGTGGTATAAAACTCCTATCAGCACATGCTCTGCCCCATGGGACAAGCTGCAGGGACAGGAGGGCTGTCTACCACGTGGATGAGGCAAGGCTGGGGCTGGCAAGGGAGCCCGAGGGCCAGTGGTCAGCCAGAGGTGCCTCAAGCACTGGCTGTTCCTGGCAGTGTTCACCAGACACAGTGCCAAGCCCACCGGAGTAAGGGGTAGAATTCTTTATTAGGGCGCACAAGCCAGGCTGTCCTGCTCACAGTGGCTTCTAGATAAAGAGGAAGAAGTTATCTCCAGTAGAGCCAATTTCAGAAGTCACTTCCTTGCATTATATTCTCCTTTTTTGGGATGTCTGTGCGAAGAAGCAGCTTCCAGTCTGCCCAGTGAAGGCCCCTGGAGGGCATTTTCTTAGGCTTCAGCTGCTGGCTGACAGTGACACTCCCTGAGGGACTGCAGAGACGCTCCCATGACGTCTCACTGGAGGCCCAAGTTGGCCCTGAACCCCAGCCAGAGGTGGACTTGTCAAGAGAGCAGGCCAGACCTTCACTCTCTAACACAGGCCAAACTTCAAAAGCTGCCACTTTTAAAACCCTGGGGGCAGTGAAGGGTGCCCTAGTCTTGGTGAAAGTAACTAATTTTTGAGACAAAAGGGCAAAGTCTCCTACCCTTTCCTCATCTGTTCTGGGGACAGAAGGGACGGGTGTGCCCAGGCTGTTGGCACAGGCTGCATTTCCGGGGTCTCTTCACTGTGGACCCTGTGTCTGAAGAGTTGGCTCGGGTTCTTTTGCTTCTGGCCTCTAGCCCCTTGGTTCTTCCTCCGCCTCCTGGCCAGGGCAGGGCTCCAAAATCCACTGTGGGAAGAGTCAGGGAAGGCGGAGCTTAGAACAGACACTGAGGCGGCAGGAAATACAGGTTGGTGCGCTGCGGAGGGACAGACAGCCTCCCAGCTTTGATGTGGTCCAGCCACCTCCAGCCAGGCCCCTTGCTTCTGTGACAACCCACAGTGCATCATACCTTACTTGCCCAGGCACCCCTCCCCAAAGAACCCTGAGTTCTAGCAGGCCTAGTCCACTCTCACTGGCCGGTCACCTCATACCTGACGTCTTAACAGAAGTGGAAGCCAAGCAGCAGCTGGCTGGAGCCATGTAGGGAGGCAGCAAAGACAAGAGGCTGTGATCAGCAACCTGCTCTGGAACTCGTCCTGTTCCCCTCAAGGAAGCCCTTACGGAGGCCTCTTAGTCTGACTGCTCCACTGCTCGGACAACAGGCCAGGCGACCTGGAGGGCAGCTACTGCTGCTTCCAAATGGGGAGAAGTGGCGCTCACACATCTGCAGTCTGCAAGGCTGGAAGAGCTCCCTGTGCACTTCCGGTGCTGACCCAGCACGGCGCTGGCAGCCGGCAGCTAAGTCCTAAGCCTTTAGCAAGTCTGCTGGGCTTTTCCAGTAAGCGCAGAGCCTGTACTAGAATCACAGTCTGAGAGTAACGAGGCTCGTTTATTGGACAGGAACCCTAAGGAAGGTAAGTGGGTGCCATATCATTGTCGAGGAAACAGGAAACTAGCCCTGCACAAGCTGCCTGCGGGCCTTTCTGTCACTTTCAGGTGCTTAGTTAAGCCTCTACTGTGTACCAGGGTGGGCAGGAACCATCTCAAAGTACCATGTCCCTTTGTGATCAGTGTCTGTGCCAGTTCTCACCATCCCTAGTATGGAGAGACCCAAGCTACACGGCCGTGAGTGTGTTCCGAGACACTACCATGCCAATTCCTTCGTTTAAAGAAACAAGGCAGATGATGCCGAACTTAACACAGGTTAGAGCCCAGGGCCGTGGAGACAGGCCGGCTGACAGTCAAATCTTGGGGTGTGGCTGTGAGACTAAGGGTCTCCGCACGTATCTGGGCCTCACTTTCCTCACTGGAAAAGTTGTGATGACAGCTCCTGTCCATGACGACCAGAGTACCTTGTGTGCTGGTCACATAGCAAGCTACCCAACGGCAGCAGTCGCCCTTCAACTGCAACGGAGACTGCTGTTCATCACCTTGTTGCAAATGACCAAGCGAGGAAATGGCAACCAAGGCCTGATCCCCACTGCCCGCCCGCCTCACTCTGCCAACTGTGGTCTCGGAGCTCGAGGGCAGCGCACCAACCCCACAGGGAACTGCAAGGCCCTCAGCTCAGCTCAGCTCAGCTCAGCTCAGGGGCTGCTCCCGTGGATGCCGCTGTGGGGACGGAGCCTGCGCCCTCCCTTACCTGGGGCCACGTTCTCGTCCACCCACTGGAAGAAGCCGCACTGCTGCTCTCTTGGCTTGGCGCACGTGTGGAACTGGCGTCCTCGGTTGGGCCCATCCTTCTGCACAGTGCGCGTAACGGCCGGCTGGCTGCACAGGCAGGATGTGCCACCACCGCTACCACCGGGGCTGCCAAAGCCCCCCAGGTGGGTCCCTGAGCTTGGGGGAGGCCCCAGTGAGCCACCCGTGGGCCTTGCTGCAGAGGAAGGAGGCCGTCCGGCGGCCGGATGGGGGCTATCGGCCCACAGGAAGAAGCCGCAGCTGCCACCACTGCACTTGTAGAACTGCCGGCCCTGGTTGGGCCCCTCCTTCCGGACAGTGAGCAGCACGGCCTCCTGGCCACAGTTGCAGGTCACAGAGTTGTTTTCACGAGCGGCAGCAGGCAGTGGTAGAGCCTGGGTCAGAGCCTTTGAGGGTCTATGGTGACTGTTATCAGAAGGCTGGGGTTGGCCGTGCTGGTTGCTGTCCATTCTGTTTAGAGACTGGCTAGCCTGCAGGTATCCAGTGGGCTGGCTGGCCGGCTGGCTGGCTCTAGGGGGCCCCCGTGAAAATCTCAGGTCCAAGATCTCCCTCAAGTTCTCATCACATCCACCAATGCAGCCAACAAACTCCAGAGGCATGGTTGGGGGAAGGCTACCTTGTTTAAACTTCAGCTTCAACCTAGTGAGGTCAGAAGGTGAGGAAAAAACATTAATTGCCAGGTGCAAGAGCGCTCCAGGCCCACAGAGGCCAGCATCCACCCCAGTCATCCCTCCACCTGCCCATTGCCCACACCAAGGCAATGAGGGGACGTAACCACATTGGCGTGCTGACCTGGATGCTGCTGAGAGCAGCAAACCCGAGGTGCTCACGCCCCCGAGGGCCCCACCGGTGCACTGCCTTGCAGCTGACTCAGATCCCAGCTCACCTGTAAACAGGGTGCGGCTGGCACACGGGACAGACACTGTCATCCCTGCTGGCCTCCAGGAGAGAGTCAGGGAACCACACGGCCGTTCTACATTCTGGGAAGCCTGTGCAGCTGAGGTAGAACCTGGGGAGCAGGAGGTCAGGGTCAGGCAGCAGCCCCCGGACCACAGGAAATCTTCCCAGGCTGCTACCCCGCTGGCAAGGAAGCTTTTCTTCCGCCAACTAAAGAAGACATTAATCCTACTGGATTACGTGTAAATGGATATAGTCACTGACACACGTAGCACTGAATGACAGGAAAAACAGTCTTCATTTATTTCCCACATCCCTTAAAAAAAAACAAACAAACAAAAACAACAGTCAGCTATTGCTGACTCTGCTTTTGACTTAAAACAACCCACCCCAAAACACCCGGCCAGAGGGCTGAGCAAGTACTGAGGGTTTGGCTCGGGGTCCGAGCTGTGCTCTCATCTTCCCTCAGTTCCCCTCCTGACAAGCCCAAAGGGGACCACCAGCATTTAGTTTACACTGGTGTGAACAAGACTGGGAGCACCCTGGAAACCTGACCAAAAACAAGTGCAGTGAGTTGGGAGTTAGGCCAAAAACTTAACTGCGTCTTTACTCCCAGCAAGTGCACCTTGTCTTTCTTGGCCAACATTTCCTAATGCCTTCTACTCATGAAACTTTAGGACTGGATTAGTGAACATGCACATGACTTAAACATCCTCTTAGCGGTCCCGATATGACTACATCAGGAGAAGAAAAACAAAACCCACCAATCCAAGTCCCAGTAATTAATTAATAGTAAATCCACAAACTCAGGAATGGAAATTACCAGATAAACCCTGGTGTGGTTCATTTTACCTAACAGCCCCAGACCTCTCTAGGTGATTCAGCACTTGGAGAACTCCTAAGCAACACATAAACAAGTCTTTTTTCCCCTTATATTTCAAAGCGCTTATCTATTTACCCACCGGAAAACCATCACCAGCAATTATTAAAAGGACTATGACCATCAGTGCTGGGCTAAGCCTGCAGCAGCCTGGGTTTATATAACATTTGTGGGCAACATAGCCTTGCAACCTGCTGCGGGGGTAGGGGTGGTGCCCACTAAGCTCTGGTACCTGAGAGAGGGAGTCGGGGAACCCGCCTGCTCCCACGGCAGCACGGAGGAAGCAGTGCTGCAGCTTGTGGGCAGACTGCCAGAGGCGGTGGAGACCTGAGTTCCAATCCTGCCTTTCCTGATCCCCGGGGCTGCCTGCTGTGGGCTAGCAGCGTCTGCCGCCACACCTCAGAAATATGGGGTGAAAACACCTGCCCTGGAGAGGGACTGCGGTGCAGAGGAGACAATGTCCATAGAGCACTTTGCCTCATCCCAGGGATGGCATACGATAAATGAGGGCCCAATCACAAATCACTGCTCCTGCCTGTGAACTTCCCTCAAGCCAGGCTGTGCAACCCGAGCCTTCCGGTAACTACTAGCCCTGGCCTTCTGCGTTGAAATAAAGAGAGACCTAACTCAGAGCCAAAATTAGAACAGAAGAAGTAGTAGTGCTTGTGGAGAAGCTCTGGCATACCCAGCAGGCACTTCTCTTTTCACTGAATCCCCACCCTTCCCCAAATGCTCTAAAGTAGACCTAATTGCTGAGTTTATGGAAGAGGAAAGTGGGGCTCAGCATAGTTAAGTAACCTGCTTCAGGGCATAAAGCTTACACGTGAGTGGATTTGAACCCAGACCTACTTGCATTTAAAGCTTGTGTTTCTCCACCTTTGCCACACTGGGCCCTTGTCCTTACCCACAGGGGATGGAGCCCACCATTACGAGCCCTGCCCACAGCACTTCATACTTCCAAGGCCAGTCCTCGCTGGCCAGTCCACTCCCAGCACCTAGACCAGGGCTGGCACTAGTAGGATCTCCCTTTAAACAACAATGAAAATGAACCAATGCAGAGAGCCATCAAGCAGGCGCTAGGTGCATAAAGTGGAGCGTGAGCCAGACACTGACCCACCACTCTTCTTGGTTTTGAGGACCATGTCCTTGTTGCACTGTGGGCACTTTCTGACAGGCTCTGGCATGGCTGGATAGATGGCTTCTTGCTGGGCCACCTCTGCCCCTTCCCCAAAGTACTGGGATAAGGCCTCGTCCAATCTGAAGAGACAGCAAAACATTTACATTATGACTGTACTTACCATGTGTGTGAGCTGGGGACCCCCTGATGCTGCCCCAGTGGGCCACCCTTCTCTGCCTGTCTGGCTCCCAGCCCCTCCTGGGAGAAGCCTAGCTACAGGCAGGTACTTTTGCCACGCTACTGGCCCCACACCAAACAAAACCACACAGGGTCCTGGCGCACACTCAGGAGTGCATTGGTTTAAGTTTCAACTAGCTCATGCTCTTCAAAACTGGTGGTAGAGAAACCTGCTATTTCTAACAAAATGCACACACGCTGCTTGCTAAATGGTCACCTCCCAGGGACTTGGAGAACACGGGCCAGGCGCCAGTAGCTGGGTGTGCTGACACATAAGGCCATGCCTGCTGCCTGCTGACTCAAGGCAGTGACAATCAGGAGAAAGGCATTTTAAAGCCAACAGCCAAAAATATAAATAAACAAAGTCAATGGCCTGGATTAAATGGACTAGATCCTTCAAGCTGTCATTTCTATACTGGCAAAGCGCTAAAGAAAGGGACAAACATAACTCCAGAGGAAAACCTGAAAGGTTCCTGTGTACAGCTCTGCCGAGGAAGACCACTGTGGAGACATACTGACCTGGCAGGGATTTTAGCACCCGCAGGGCACAGGGTGGGAGTTACGCCACCAGCTTTCTGCTGAATCAGCCCACAAACTCCCACTTCTTAGGGACACGTTACGGCCGAGGACCCACGGCTAAATGTCCCTGTGAACAGCAAAGCAGGGTGGGGACTCACTTCTTTGCTTTAGCCACTGCTTCGATGAAAACCTGCTTGTATTTCTGGACCTGCTGCCTTAGAACCACAAGTTTGTCCTTCTTGCCCTCACAGATCAACTTCAGATCAGCCTCGAGCTCAGCGCGGAGGTCAGGTTTGGACATCTCATAGCCCATGGAGTCGTAGCCTGCAGGAGAAGAGTGGGGTTCCCTCTGGCCCTGGAGCACACCCTCGGGCCCAGCAACCACTACACGCTCCCTCCTCCTTACCTTCCACAAGTCCCATGCCCAGGTGTCCAGGAAGAAACCGCTTGTCTGGGGTGAGCCCAACGTACATCCGAGCTTTGATGGTCTCTATGTGCTCCGCATGAGTGGCGTCAGTACCTGAAAGCCACCTCAGGTTATGCTCAGGTTAACCCAGACAGCTCCCACAGGTGCTCCCGTGTGCCATCTTCTACCAGATTTCCTATTCTAGGTAAGAGGCTCTAACTCACACTTGGTCCATTCAGTAACCACAACGACAACTTCACATTTGCTGACTGTCTGTTAGTCTTTCTCCTCCGTGCCATAGGTCAGAGCCGTGCCAGAGCCCACGTCCTTCTGACTGTGTCATCACAATGTCCTCAGTTACCACACTTCTGGTCTTTTCCTCCACCCAACTTACTCTTAGGTTGGGGCCAGAGGGATCTTTTAAAATTTAGCTCTGCCATCAGGGAAAAGCATAGCAAATCAAACCCACAAAAAACTACCACTTCAGGTGGGCATAATAAAGACACCCAGTAAGAAGTGTAGGTGATGTGGAGGAACCACAAGCTCACACACCACAGACGTGCCCGGGGCCAGTCACCTTGGAAAACAGTCTGGAGTTTCCTCCAGAGAGTAAACAGTCACCACACCCCAGCACCCCCAGGTTATACCCACGAGACCAGGTCCACACAGTGCGTGCAATGAGCAGCGACGAAATGGAAACCACCAAATGTCCACCAACGGACAAAAGGATGGACAAAACGTGGCATGTCCACAGAACAGTGTTTGGTAAAAATAAGGAATGAAATACCAAGATGTGCTACCCTGTGGATAAACATGGAAAGCACACTTCTGAAAGAAGCCAGTTACAAAAGGCTGCATGTGACTCCATTTTAGGAAATGTCTAAAATAAGCAAGTCTTTTGAGTCAGAGATTAACCGACCACTAATGTTTTTGACCCTATTTGCCCAGGGCTGAGGAGCTGGAGAAAAGGGAGGTAGGGAATGCCTGTGATTGCTGTTGGGGTTTCTCTTTTGAGGTAACAAAACTGTTCTAAAATTGTTTTGTGGTGATGGTCACACAATTTTCTGAATATCTAAATATTAAATGGGAATTCTTAAATTTAGTGAATTGTATGGTATGTGAATTATGTCTCAAATAAGCTATTAACATTATTTTAAACGTAATTCTGTGCTTCTCCTTTCCTTAGGGAATCTCAGAGGCTCTGCTGACTGCAGCCAACAGCCGAGCCCCCAGCTCAGCTTGCCAGGGCCTGTAGAGTTGGGCTCAGCTCATCTCTCTGGCACCGTGGCACACGCTTCTCTACCCCTGCATCTTCGCTCAGATCCGCCCTAAGCCATGCCTGTCTTCACTCACTGGTTCTGCTCCCTGCAGAACTAGTCACACTGTACTTAATGTGCGGAATGGTTTGTTTCTCCTCCTGGGTGAGAAGAAGACTAGGTCTTACATCTTTTTATGTCACAGGTTTAGCTCTTGGGGGCCTCACGTTTTTAATGGGTAAATCATGATGGTCAACTACCGCTAATTTTACCTAAACTCACAGGGTTTCTAGGTAGGCCAGTGGGCGCCAGGTGGGAGCACTTCTCCTGGCCTCACAGACCTACAAAACTCACTCCGCACCACAGCAGGTATGCCCTGGGGTGATTGGCACTACCCCCGCCATCAGGCTACTGGTCCTTTTGGACTACATGAGCCAGAAACAAGCCTTAGGAATGTGAGGAAAAATAAAAAAGGGGCAGCAGAGAGGTCACAACTGGCCCACCGGTAAATCTGTAGCCACAGGACTTTTTGGGAAAAACAATTCTGACCCAATTTTTAAAAAATCCAATTTCTGATTCCTAAACAGTGATAAGCTGTTAATACAGAATTGGTAATATGGTCCCCATGACTAACAGCAGGGTGACAAATTCCGGCTCCAGCAGGGGCCTGACCTGTAGCAAGTTGGTGAGTGTACAAAGACTGGGCCACGGAGCACGCACCCCTGAGGTGGCCAGCACTCAGGGCCAGCCACCTGCTTCCACATAGGAATGAAGCGCAGGATTGCCAGATCTTCCAAAACTTCAAAAGATGAAGATAAAGCATTTATGTAGACTCCATAATGCAAAATAAAGCAAAATCAAAAACATCCCAATGTGGGTAAAAAAATACATAGCAAATGCACAGGACCTGCCCAGGGTGCTCCCAGATGAGATTTCTGAATCATGGGAACAGCCTGTGTCCTGATTCAGATGTGTGATGCAGTGGAGGACAGCCCTGACTGCGCAGTTCTCAGAATCATTCACGCACACTTTTTGTGACTATAGGTAGGGTCTTAACTTCTCTCAGCCTTACTTTAGCTATAGAGGCAGTGAGGACATAACGCTGACTATACTGTAGTGGTGAAGGTCAGAGGAGAGGCAGTATCAGGCGTGCACCGAGTGCTCAAGAGCCACTAGTTACCACACGACAAGCTACTGACCAATGCCGTGCTTCTCCATGAGGGCAATGAGGTCAGCCTCCGTGAGCAGCTGGGGTGGGCTGGTCTCCCCATCCAACATCTCCACAGTGCTGGGCTGAAAGCGGGAGCCTCTCTCATAGATAGGAAGAATCTACAGAGAGCAGCAGAAGCATCAGTCACTAATTCTACCATGGCACTCAGGCAGAAGACAACTTCCATTTCAAAATGGCTCTGCTCAACCAGACGGCATGAAGGCTGGGAGCACGACTGTCTCCCCCACTCCCTGAGGCCGTGCATGAGACGTGATTCTGATTATCACCTTGTCGCTCCAGTGATCATACGGATACACATCCAAATAGTTTCGCGCCAGAATCATGAGGCCATGGGCCACAAAGCGTTCCTGAGCGATGTCAATCTCCACAGTGGTCTCCTGCCCCTGGGCATCTTGGGAGCAGCAAGCTAGGAAATGGCGAACAATAAACTCATAGAGTCGCTGCTCATCTCCCTATGAAGAAAAGAAAAGAGCCTGAAGCTCCCTCTAGAACATTACCTCTCAGGGACTTCCGCACGGTTGGTACTTGAAGGCTGGTTTGGGTCACCTTTTGAGCTAATGTTCTTTTCTCTTTTTTTAAGTCTGGAATTTTATTTATTTTTTAAATGGTATCTTTTTTTTTTTAATTAAAGAAACACTGGTTTATAACACTATTTACGCTTTGGGGGTATAGGTTAAAACCTCATCACATCACATCATACCACCAAGACACCTACAGTCCTCCGCCACAGACCACTGGGCTCCCTCTCTCCTTACCTTCCCACGCCCACCCTACCCCCCTCTGAAAGTCTATCTACAGTCAGATTTCTAGATTTGGGTTAGTTTAGCTCCTGTCTAGTCTCTCGTAACCTGGTGTTCTGCAGATACAGGGCACAGCATTCCGTAACTGCCTACAAGAACGTGGAGGGCTAGGCTAAGCTTCCATGTGCCTATGGGTTAGGCTGACCTACTTCAGGGATAAACAAAGGCAGCATATTGCCCTCGAGATTAGGTAGGGCCCCTTTTGCTATAAATCCATCCTAAGCAGGAAACAAGGCGGGGCAAACGTTAACAAAAAGGTCCTTTGTATATAAGACACATACAGAAAGATGTGTCCAGCTGCCTTAGACCAAGCATGAGCACATGGGCACAGGGTTCAAGGTGATTTCCTACTCATTAAGTTGCTAAGGAGTTGGTGAGGCCCAGTCAATCAAAGGCCTGAAAGATATTCACACTCACATCCAATAATTCTCCTTCTAAGAATATACTCAAGTGAGTAAGATCTGCAAAATATTTATGCATACAAATGTTAACACTAGCATATCATGTATCAAAAAACTGGACATAAGCTCGGCAAAATAAATTATGGTAAAATATTGCAATTACTGAACATCATACTTTAACGTTTCATAGTTCCTAAATTATCTACAATGAACATTTAGTACTTTTAAAGCAGAAAGAAGCTGTTTTCTTAAAAAAAGGGAAATACTTTCTTAGCTTTATGATAAACATAAAATACACCTCATTCGCTCTGGCCCTCACGGAGCTTATTCCCCAGGGGAGGAAACAACTTAGACCTGAGATACTGCAAAAAACACTGCAGTAACATAAGCATGACATGCATGTGTGTGTGTGTGTGCATGAGAGAGAGAGAGAGAAAGAGAGAGAGAGAGAGAGTGCTTTCAAGTGGCAACACACACCAGTTTTCGGAGGATATATAGGCTTCTTCAGGTTAACAAGGGACCAAGAAGGCGATGCGGGCTGTGTGGGTGTGGGGCAGTGTGTGGGGAAGGCAAGCTGCCTCGCCTGTGTATGGGGGTCATCGCAGCAGCAGAGGGGGCTAGACAGAGTAGAGCCCAGTATGGGGAGCTTTTAGGAAAGCTAGGTAGAAGACCATAGAGTAGAATTTCTATACAAACCTCTTTTTTCTGAATGGAAAAGATATTTCAAAGTCACTCATTTCCTGAAGTAAGAGCCCGAGGGGACACAGATCCTATACCTGACCCCCTCACCTCCCTCTGGACTCTGGCAGCATTATTCAAGAAAACCAACCTGCAAGTTGCTGGCGTATTTAGTAGGGTGGATGGGAGGGTGAGCTTGGTCAGACTTGTTCCCATTGCGTGGGGTGGGGCCACCCCGCTCTAGAATGCTCTGGGCAAATGCCCCCCAGCGTGGATCTGGCGTCTGCTGCTCCACCAGCACTGACAGGTTTAAGTCTTTGGGGAAAATATTTGTTTCAGTTCGGGGATAGCTGATGTACCTAAAATGAAGGCGAACAAACAGGAAAAAAAAATTGTTCTTCTCTGGTCTAAAAACAACCAGAAAACACATGGTGATATCTGCAATAATCTATTCACATACCCAACTTAACTGAAAGCAGATGAGATACTGACCCAAGAAAAGTTCTGAGGTAAGACCCTTTATGGGATGGGAAGCAGCAGTTCTCCTTCTAGGGCACTTAAAGAAGTCAAAGAACGCAAGAGGGGGCAGCACAACGCAGAGACCCGCACTACAGCCCAGCCCTGTCCGCGGTCCTGCGGCCCAGGCACTGCTGCCAGCCCAGGTCAGCCCGCCATGTGGCCCTAAGGCGCCATGAGCCCCGGCCTGACGCCGCAGCAAGTGTGCTCCTACCCCTGCTTAAAGCACGATGCTGCCTGACAACCTGCCTTGTGCACCTTCCGTGTAATTTACAGTTATCTTTTAGCCACTAAAATTATTAATGGGATCACTTACTTTCTTTTTCAAATGAGTCATTAAGACCCAGTATATACTTTACAGAAGCCACACACCCCAATTTGAACGGTCCGGATTTCGAGCGCCCAGCAGTCACATTTGGCGAGTGGGTGTCACACTGGTCAGTCAGGACACACTGTCACTGGATGAAGTTAGGGGGAATCAGGACTCTCTGAGGCAAGGGTGATTCCCAACAGGCAACAGCTCCTAAGGTGCTACCCACCACCTGTCAGGATCCCCAGGAGAGCTGCTGAGGGGTCAACAATGGGATGTGAATTCATTCTGTGGGCTTGTGTTTAAGGAATTGTGATGCGATTTTGAAATAACCCTTTTCCTGCAGAAAGAGAAGTCAAATCAAATTCTACTTCAGAGCTGAAATTATACCTAGACAGTGTTTCCCCATAAGCTCTATTTCTAAGGCATAAAGTTCAGAATAGCCTACTCCCAAATATGGGATATTTACCCTTGAGTATAGAGCTTCTCAGCAATCCTCATGGTTTCTTTAGCATTTATCTTCAACTTTCGAGAGGCCAGCTTTTCAAGTTCCTGTTAAATGAGTCAACAGGCATCTCAGGTGTAGTGTGTGAGTCAGAAGACACAACACAACCACACAATGTCTGGTTCACACCAGCTGCTATCACACTGAGAAAGAAACACTGTGCCCAGGAAATTTCCAGGCCTGCCCGACCAATCTTATCTTAGACTGAAAAGCAAAAGCAAGAATCACCTGGCAAATAAGCAGATTCACAAGCCTGAGAACAAGGGATTCTGACAGAGTAGAGCTGGGAACAGAGGTCAGAAATCTGCATTTTTCACAAGCAGTCTAATGTACTGGTTCTAACACAGGCAGGCTGACAACCACACTTTGCGAACAACATCCGAGTCTCTGTAAATTGCCATGACTGATGAATGCCTTTCGCTTCCAAGAGGCCCACGGGGAAATAACCAGTCATTCTTCTTGGTGACACTACAAGCCTGCTGCTGACAACACATCAGAGCATAGTGAATCTGCAGAATAAAACAGTCATGCCTACTGCGTGAAAACACCCACCCCTCACCCTTGGCATTCCTTCACATGCGCATACAGACATGTGACACAAGGTAAAGGATGCACCCCAAGTCTCTGCCTGCTCTTAGTGCGTGTTTGGTGCATTCAACCTCCAGTTAGGCTTGACAGTAATGACACCCTAAATTTTCCTGTAAAGGAGTAACTGGCAAGGGGAACTCCTTAAGGTGGTTTACTCACATGGGGGTCGCTATTCTTGGGGTCAAAGTATTGGTTCTAAGGTAGGTTTATATAGGAGGTATTTAAAATATTTTACATAAATTATACACTTAAAAAAAAAGATTTATTTTTTCTATTTATGCATATAAGAACTTGGATACAGGCCAGAGGTGCAGGGGGCTGTGGGGGGGTGGGGTGAGAAGAATCACCAGAGACACGGGAACCAGAACAGGCAGATCTACTGAAATACACTGCTGTGGGGAGCATCAGGGGAGAAAGGAGAGGTCTGCTGTCCCATATGTGGGTCAACTCCAGGCTACAATGGTGATATCATGATAGTGCGGAGACTTAACCCCTACACCACCAGGGAGGTCCAAATTATACATTTTGAAGAAAACATATGCGAAAGAACAAGTCATTCTAAAAACAACACGGTTAAAAATACACATAAAATATCAGAAGACATTACATTATACCAGCAATGTATCAGCAATTACATAGGGGATGAGTGATAAGTCTTCCTCCTTTTGTTTCCCAAAGCCCACAAAGTGGTTATATTGCATTTATTAACTTAAAAGTAAAAGAAAACGAAAGGCCGAAGTAGGCTTGCCATTTGGGGGTTCTGTTTTTCAAAAGCTTTTTCCTGTGTATCCCTGTAAAGGGGGACACTTCCTGCCTCTAGGCCGACATCTACAGCAAAACCCTGTCCAAGAACTGGAAGTCAGAACTGCTCAGGGGCTGGGACCTACCACAGTGTCCAAAGCTTGAGGTCTCCACTTGCTCTTTGGCTTAGACTTGACCTCCACCACAGTTGCCATGGGATCCTAGAAGGCCAGGAAAAGCAGAGACCACAGTGGCTGGTCAGTGCCTCTCCTCCAGCTTTCCTGTGCTGAACCTGCTCACCATTCCAGCTCACGCTCACCACCAGCTCCACTCTGCTCCAGTGCATGAGAGCACCCCACGTAATGTCAGCTTATAGCCCACAGATTGGGGAACACATCATAAGCCTTGAGTGTTTTGTCTACTGGTAAAATGCAGAATAGCTTTCTGAATGCTTGACGAGTTTAAGATATTTCTTACCTCCATACACAGCTGATAGAGAACAAGACAAGCTGTGTGGTTAAAGAGGCGATGCCTTTTCCAGTTGAATTCTACGATGCCATCTTTGTGGTCATGACTTACTATTTGGGGGAAAGACAAAAAGGCCATGGCTCAGAGAAGACTCATGATATGACAGCTAGGAAGGTACATTACAGCGAAAGATGAAGGCACACGAAATAGACAAGAGTTTCTGGATCACTAAGGGAACTAATCATTTCTGAAAATCATATGGGTGAGCTGAAGGACAGCAACACACACACTAACTAGAGCCACTGACGCCCCATGGTGCCCCGGGTCACTTCTGGAAGCTTAGGTTCCACATCCTGAACAACACCCTGACCCAGCTCTACCTTTAATTTTGTGGAAGATTTCGGGGACAAAAGCCTGAATGGCTTTGAACCTCTCCACCACGAACCCTAGTGTTGGAAACTGGCAGCTTCCATAACTGATGAGCTGCTCTGCCAGCACCTCAGGAAAGATCTTCTGAAGCCTCAGGGTCTGGAACCTAGTAAAGGCAGCTCCTGGAAAGTGAGGATGGAAGGAGAAAAGGATTAAGGAAATGATGGGCTGCAAGGTCAAAGCTAGAGGCACGTACGTACACAGAACCTAATGTTTGCCATAACCCAACAGCCAGTGTGCCACGTGGAGCCTCAGCAGTCTGCCCAGCTCCTCACCAATCCGCAGGTCCAGCTCCTGCCTCACGTCCACAGCATCACTCACTCTCTGATCAGGCTCAGTGAGGTTTTCACAGGCTATCCTGACGGCTCGCGGTGTAATCTCAGAGAAACGGGCTCTCAACACTTGCAGACTGGGCTTTACTGAAGAACAGAAAGTCAGCGAGATTAAGGTCAAATCACATTGTCCTAATGATTATAAAAGGCTTGCTTTTCTCAAGGCAGCTTAAATGAAAGGCATCTTTGAGAAAGCTGTGAGGCGCACACGTTTATCGATGAGGTTAAATTAATAAGTCACTGAAGACAGGAAATTCACTATAATCATTAAACTGAGTGTTGTAGGAACACTGGTGGAGAGAATTTTAGCTAACAGAGAAACTTTTGAGACTTTACTATCATTAGATCTCCTAGACCTTTAGGAAAAAGAAAAATGCTGTCAAGTAAAAGGTCCTATGAGGGAATTTTCTGCCACAGAAGAAGTACAGGATACATAGTCCCTGAAGTTAATGTTCTTAAATCCCAGGAGTCATTTTGGCTGCAAACACAAAAACTTGGGGGAAAGGCCAACCCCCACCTCAGCCCCTGTGAAATCCAAGAATATTCTATGTTACCTGAAGCCATTAAACTTGTTAGCGCCATTTAATTTCACTTCAACAATTATTTGTTAATGTTTAGGTATTACACACAAAGTATAAGCGATTAAAAACAGAACATCTCTGGCCTGTATCCCAGTTCTGTATGCACAAATAAAATAAAATCTTTAAAAAAAAAAAAAATAGAACATTGAGAGTTAGGGTTAGTGTCAAGATTAAAAAAATAGAACATTCTAGAACTATTCTTTATATTTTATTTTGAAAATATTAAACACTTTTAAAAATAGAATGTATTTGGTCCCATCTCTCAAGGAACTGGCAATCTATCTGGAACTGACCCCTGGCAAGGCCTGGCCCACAGGGTCTACGCATTTGTTAATATGTTTAGTCCTCCTGCAGCCCTAGGGAGTGTATCAGACTGGCCCAGGTGAGGAAGTCAGGGTCCCAAGAGTTTAGTGACTTATTCCAGGACACACAGCTGTTGAGAATGGACGGATTCAGGAGGGAGAGTATTCAGGGATGAATGCAGTTACAACTGCTCACACACATATAGGAGAATAATCTACAGTCACAAAGCACAGAAACTCAGAAGTAGCGTCACTTACCAGCCTTGCACACATGGATAATCTCAAATCCAATATTTTCACCTTCTCTATCACAATCAGTCCAGATCACCAGGGCCTGGCACTGCCGTGTCTCTCGTTCCAGAGTTTTCTAAAGTTTCCAGGGGGGAAGAGCAATGAGAGCACAATCTATAGGGTAAATTACTTGACATTCCTAAAGAGATCTAACACAACATTAATGACTTCCCTGAAGTAGGCCAATGTGATGAGAAAAGGAGATCAGAGAAAACTATGCTGAGTGGCTATAGTATGTATAATCCTCCATCTTGGAAGCAGAGACTCATGAATGAACTTCTAGAAGCCTGAGGGTTCAGTGCCAACTGTGAAACCTGAAACTCAGGTCTGACACACTCAGAACTCTAATGGTTCTGGATATGCCTGGTTAAAAAATATTAACCCGTAACTGAGTTTCATCCCAAGATTTCTCAGCCAGTAGAGAACAGTAGGCACCTCAACTGTTTAAGAACTCACAATTTACTGTCAAACTACCATTTACACTTTATTCCTCTTCATTCTAACTAGGGAAGGAGTAGGAAGTAGAATTGATAATTTCACAATACTTATTTATACAACTACTGTTCACAAAAGGCTGATTTCAGTCCTTTGGTCACTTAGTTTTAATGGCTTTATTTATACAATAAATGGAATTTGTTCAATTCCAGTGCCGTATGTCTTCCAAAAGATCCTACCTTGATATCTACAAAATTCTCTGGGCAGTACTTTTCAATTTCTGCTTCAAAGAGGACAAGGGGATTGCAGCTCTGCCTAGAAAAGAAATGATAACACAAAAATTTCTACCTTAACACATGACAGAAAGCCCTCCATCTTAATGAGAAAAAACTGCCCCGGTGAGCTTGTGGATGGGTCCCAGTAGAAGCCAAAGAATTCAAAGGGAGACTATGCCCTCTGCACAAGGTAACTTCCACTTCCCACAACAATTTACAAGAGCTGCTAGGAAGAAGTTCTGGAATCTTCTCATGTCTATGAACACAGGATAAATGCAACCAATTGACTGCATGGAAAGAGATGGTGGACAGAACATACCTAACAGTGGCTGCTCATTTTAAAAGTTCACAATGAATCAGTTAATCCTTGCTATGGATTCTACAATCTATGTCCCTTCCCTCCCCAGTTCACATATTGAAATCCTAATATCAATATGACAGTGTAAGAAGATGGGGCCTTTGGGAGGTACTTAAGTTGTGAGAGTGCAGCCCTCATAATTGGGATTGGTGCTCTGATAAACGAGGGCCCACAGAGCATCTTGCACTGGAAGAGGAGGTAGTGAGAAGTTAGTGGTCTGAAACCTGGAAGAGGGTTCTCACCCAACCTGCTAGCACTCCAATTTCAAGCTGGCATCCATAACTGGGAGCAATACGTTTTTGTTGTTTATAAGCTACTCAGTTTCGTCTTTTATTACAGCAGCTTGAACAGACTAAGACTGTCATCTTGGTATTATAAATTATATAGTATGATCAACATGCCTCAGAATTCTTTAGTATTTCACAATTTACTGTAGCATCAGGAATTGTACTGACCATTTGCGGTACCGCATCTGGAAATCATGAGCCAGCAAATGTCCGGAAACTGAAGTCATTACCATGGTAACATTCTGAATAACAAAGTCCAAGTTAGTCCCTTAGCAGTTCTATTTTGCCAAATCATTCAAATGAATTTCTACTAAAGAAAAAAAAAAGTGATTGCCAGGGATGGAGAGGGGATGGAAGAATGAATGAAGGTGCAGCGCTGAGAATTTTGGGGCAGTGAAAGTTTCTTCAGCTTCAACAACAGGCTTTAGGTGATCATCAATGTAGGTTCATCAAATATAAGAAACGGGAGGCTACATGGATGTTGGGGCAGGGAACAAATGGAAAATCTCTGTACCTTCCCTCAAGTTTGCTGTGAACCTAAAATTGTTCTAAAAAAAAATGAAGTCTACAAAAAAACTTGTTGGCAAGAAACTGAACACATATATAATTTTTTTGAAGCCGAAAGCTGTAGTAATATAATTACCATTGGAATTCTAGTACCACATGCTTTTTGTATCATCAAAATTGCCAGCAATTATCTCTCTCTCTCTCTCTCTCTCTATATATATATATATATCCTAAGTGTATATATATATATTAAATTATTAGATTTCTTTATTTATGCATACAGAACTGGGGTACAGGCCAGAGGTGCAGGGACACTGACAGGATTCACCAGGAGAGTCCTTTCACTCTTATACAGAGAGGCCTCTGTATAAATTTAAAATGATACCTGTAACTACGCAATCTTTAAGCTACAATTCTTAAAATACTGATACGTCCTAATTCCTCCAGAGTAAGTAACTCCAAAATATAACTAATTTAGAGAAGACCTATAGTAAATAGCTCTTCTTTTTAGCGATATACTAAAAGGCCCAAAGACTGTACATGGGGCCCTTCCTGGTGGCGCAGTGGGTTAAAGCACTGCACTGAGAAGCTAAAGCCACTTTCCATGAGTTCGATTCCCGCCTGCCCCGGAGGTGACCACATGGTGTGGCAGACCTCTCCTGACCCGCCCGCTGCTCCCCTCAGCAGTGTACTTCGTAGATCTGCCTGTTCTGCTCCCCACTGTCTCTGGTGAAGCCCCTCACCGCGCCTGAGCCTCTGGTCTGTATCCCAATTCTGTATGTACAAATAAATAAATCTTCAAAAAAAAAAAAAAAAAAAGACTGCACATGGATCTGAAAGTGCACTTCTCCCGTATGATGGAAACATGCAGCACCTACCTGTCCATACATATGATAATCAAACTCATATATTTTGTTGAATTTAGAAAGTCCTTCCCTCTGTAAAACAAAACATATAGATAAAATATATTACATAAATTACTTAAACAAATGAGTCTTCAATATCAAGGTCAAGAAAAAAATCTGATAAACGTAACAGTACATACTTCTAGGTTAAAAAATTATTGATGAAAAATCTTAGATTAAAAACTAGGCTACGTTACTAAAACCACTTATTAAGTGGCCCCTCAAAACAGTTATAAACTTATGTCTGATAAAGTTCACCAAACTTTTGTGGCAGGAGGGGAAACTTGAGAAGATGATACTAAAGCATTTTTTTTTTTAAGATTTTATTTATTTTCGTGCAGAAGAGCTGGCATGTTGGCCAGAGGTGCAGAGGGTGAGAGGATTCACCAGACAAAGTGAGGAGCAGAGCTAGTGGATTTACTGAAATATACTGCTGAAGGGGAACAGCAGGCGAAGACAGAAGTCTGCTGTGCCATGTGGGTTAGTGCCCTGCTGGGGGTCAAACTCAGGCCATATAGGTGACAGCTGAGACTTAACCCCTCAGCCACCAGCCAGGCCCTAAAGTTGACATTGGATTTATCCAATTTCATATGATACATTACTGGCAGAGAAAGGGTCAGAACCCAAGCCTCTAGCTAATTCTCTCCTTCCCTATTGTTTCCTGGCCACACAACTGCAGCAGTAATAGTGGTTTGCCAAAACCCTCTGTTTTGCAATACCTACAAATGCATGTGAGTTTCATACCAAAACTGCACAGAAGACAAGAGAAAGTCTATCTGGTCCCAGGGGGATGTTCGAAAACCTAAAAGGATTATTGTCGAGAAGATTCTCCTCCAACATCACAACGGACAGTTTTTCTGAATTAATGAAGCACAAAGGTAAAATTTAAGAGGGAACTTATTTTACTACTTATTACTTAATAGTTCACAGGTCTAATGTGGCTAAGAAATCCCCTCTGCAGACTGCAATTGTTTATTAAGCCCCTTTAAAGAGAATAGAAATGATCTAATTAGTGATTTCTAATTTCTTTTTAAAGGATTGAAGCCTTCCCAAAATCTTCAGAGACCCGCATCTATAACTAGACTGAAGCACCTGGCTGCACCAAGGCCAAGTTTTGCTAACTCTCCCAGTCTAGCCTGAATGGCTCGTCAAATGTATATCTAGTTTCTTGTGTCTCTTTGGAACATTAGTCTAAGAAATTGCTATCCTATCATCTCCAGATAAATGACCTGTTTAGTACTGTTTCTGTGACCCTAAGTCCAGGAGACCCCAGTCTCCTCCACCAGTGGTTAGTCTTGGGGATAGAAAATGCTTTTCCAGACATTTCAAACGTGGCTCCCTGTAATTCCCATCTGAGGACAGTATGCAGCTATGTTCCAGTGCTCTTGGCAGAGGTGTGCAGGGGGGTGGGCTACTCCCAAATGACAGCGAGTTTGGAGCCTAGAGAAAGAACAGAATGGTACAAAGGCCACTTTTGTGCTGGCTTTCACAATGCTATCCACTCTTTGGGTTTTAAGTACAAGTCTCATTGCTTCTAAGGACTCTGTAGGAAATGATCACATTGCTGCCAATGAATCTACACGGAATTTTTTTAAAAAAAACTTCTCATTCTTAATATAAAAATAAAACTGTAAGAAATTGTAGTCACATAGAAAAGGATCTGTAAGTTATTCACTGTGGTTACTGTGGGGTTTTTTGCTATACATTGGTTTCTGTAATAAGTGATAATGTTAAAGAAAAAGGACACTAACTTTTGTTAATGTTTTGGCAAATTTCTTTTATCATATATATGTATCTGTATGTTTAAAAATCTTTTCTAATAATAGATAAAAAGATGTCTAGTAATCTATCAAAAATAATTTATTTTTATCATTCTCTTTCCATTATTAAATCTAACTACTTGTACATTATAAAGTTGCAGTGACTATGATTTGACTTTGAGTTATAAATTTATTTCTTAGTTCCTCTCTCAAAATTTTAGTCCTTTAGAGAGGGGTTATGTCATTTAATATACATTTACTACATGACTGCCATGTAGCAGGCCCTGTTTGAGATATAAACAGAACAGGACCTGTCACTATTCTTAGGGAGGTATGCACCACAAGCAAGATGACAAAGAGCTAGATAACTGAACCATGAGTGCTATCATCTAGAGAGGTGAAAATGCATCTGGACAAAGACAGTAACAGATGAAAAGGACACTCAGGAAAGACTGACACCATATTGAAAAATTAACTCAAAACAGAATAATGATGCAAATGCAAGAGCTAAAACTCTTAGAAGAAAACACAGGGAAAATTTTTTGATTTTGGTTTTGGCAATGGTCTCAAATATAATAATAAAGGAGTAATCACAAAAGAGGAAAAAAGAGAAAACTAGACTTCACCAAATTAAACTATTTTGTGTACCAAAGAACATTACCAAGAAAGTGAAAAGATAACTCAAAGGAGGAAATATCTGCAAATCATTTATCCAACAAAGATGCAGTATCCAGAATGTATACAGTTCAACAACAAAAAGACAAACAACTTAATGAAAAAAATGGGCAAAAGACATGGATAGGCATTTCTCCAAAGAATAGCCAACAAGTATATGGAAAAATTTAAGTTTGAGAATTTTGAATCAAAATCATTAGATATTTCATACCCATAAGAACAATGATGAAAGAAGGGAGGGAGGAAAGAAAATTAACAAGTGTTGGCAAAGATTTTTAATGTGTGGTCAATTTGGAATATTGTTGATGAGAATGTGATGTTTTAGCCACTACAGAAAAGTTTGATCGTAAAATGGAGTTAACTTATGAATTAGAAGAAAACACAGGGAAAATTTTCTGATTTTGGTTTTGGCAATGGTCTCAAATATAACAATAAAGGAGTAATCACAAAAGAGGCAAAAAGAGAAAACTAGGAATTTACCTAAAAGAACAGGAAACAGGACTTCAAATAAGAACTTGCACTTGAATGTTTATAGTAGCTCTATTTGTAAGACAAAACAACCCAAAAGCCCATCAACTGACAGGTGGATAAACAATGTCATCTATACAATATATATAATACCTATATTATATCTATACAATAGATATAATAGTCATTAAAAGGAATGATGTGCCAATACACGCTACATCAATTAAAAAACACACTAAGTTTAGTAAGTCTGATATTGAAGGCCACATATTGTATGAGACTCTTTACATGAAATATACAGATCAGGCAAACCCATGGGGGTAAAAAGATTAGTGGCAGCCAGGGGCTGGGGAAAGACAGGACTGGTGAATGAGTGCTGCACAGCTGTGGAGCTTTTCCTTGGATGTGAAAACCTGGAACTAGATAGAGGCGGCAGTTGCACCCTGTGAATATATAAATGTTACTAAATGTATACTTCAAAATGGTTAATGTGGCACGTTTTTTGTTATTTTAACACTTAAGTAAAAAACAGGGCTCTCCAGTACCTTTATGATCTGGCTTCACATGCCTCATGCTTAGTTCACTTCGAATGTTTCAGTTTTTGAAAACACAAAGCTGTTTCTAGCCTCTGGGTTGTTCCTTATTCATCCTGACTTTCATCTCTAAAGGTGGATACTCTAAAGATGTATCCTGAGTATACATCTTTCAAGACTTAGTTGAAAGATTCATCAAGAAAATATTTATTGTGACTCTCCTGTACTCTAGACACCACATTAGGCGCTGGGAATACAGCAATGAACAAAAGAGACACACATTTGCTCTGGAGCTGAGAGTTCACGAAGGGGTGATGAGGGAGATCAAGTAAGTCAACTGTACCGTGCATTATTGAACTGTAATTGGTATGTGCCCTCCAGGTAGAACAGGGTGCAGAATAACACAAAGTCTCACCTAGTTGGGGGGAGAACATGATTCTCAGAGAAGAGATATTTAAATAGAGCCCTGGGAGGGCACACTAACTATGGTGGTGGACTATGGGTGCTTTGGTGGTGGGTATACCATGGTACCAACATCTGAAGCAGGGAATCCTATACTTCCAAAATACTGACAGGGATGAAAACCAATGTTATTTCAATATATACTTTTTTTTTTTAAATAAAAGATCCCTGATAGATGAAGAACTTAGTTGTAAATGGGCCATTCTCAAGAGGCCCAGAATCCTCATTGTAGGTAAAACTACATTTGGTGAGAGTTTTCAGGACTGGAAGGAGCAAGCTTGGCTGCTGCTCCCCCCAACCACATAATGGGAACTGTGTTCTAAGGGTCTTGGGACTTTGGAGAAAAAAAACAGAACAGGAAACTTATGTCCTAACAGTTAGAAATGTTTCCTAGTAAATAATTATGCTATTTCATTCTCCTGAAGTTTTTAAGGCCTCAGTGTTACTTTCTTTAGGAAGCCTTTTCATACCTTCCTCCCTTTGGGCTTCCAGTGTCTAAAACACCTTCTTATCCCCTTTACTGAGTCTAAGAATTAGTTTGTCTGAGTAAGAAGGCTGACAAGGCCTCTAGTCGCCCAAACCTTACCCATGTTGCCTTGTCAGCTGGGACTTACAAAGTTAATGGGGCAGCAGAACCCAGAAGGTGGGCTAAGCAAAAGGGGAGGGCTGGTTATCTAGAAATGGTTAGGCAGGGCTTGAATGCCAAATTAAGAGAGTTTGGTGTGTGGTTCCCAACTTAAACGAGTTTCAGAATAACTAGGGAAGGGTGTCAAAATACAGACGTCTACCCTCTCATCCCAGATCCATAGGATAGCTCGCGCCCGCAGGGGTTCTGACAAGCTTGGGATTCCCTGCTGTGGGCAAAGCGGAACAAAGGTTTCCAAGCAAATGAGTGAAGCGTCCTAACTACATTTTAAAATGTCCATCAGTCTGACGAAAAGGCCGGAGGCCACTGTAACGGTGCCAGTGAGGAGCCAGGAGCGGGAGATCGCCTTCATCTCTATTCCCGGCGCTCTCACTCGGTGGGCCTCCTCCAGGAGGACGGCTGGTCAGAAATGCACCTCCTTACCCGCCTCATGCGACCATTGGACAGCAGGTCGGCGATCCCCTTGGCCGCGTCGTTTTTCTCCGCCACACAGAGGATTTTCCGTACGCCTCGGAAGGCCACCTCCATGGCGGCGCGGGACAAGGCTCGATCTCCGAGCCGCTGCAGCCACCGGAGCGCGGAGCGAGCGACTGGGAAGATCATCCCTAGGCCCGGCGCCCGCAGCCGCTCTCCGGGTGCCTACGCATGCTGGGGACACCAGAGGAGAGATCGGCCAGGCGTCCACCATAAAGGAGCTACACAAAGGCACCGAGAGCCGCTACCACCACCGCCTGCGTCCAGTCGCCTCCGCCGGGACTCGGAGGGCTGCCACGACACTTTATTCACCGCGGCCGTCTTGGCACCAAATCCCGCGCCGGGTTGACACTCTTCCTCCCGCCTTCCAGAGCCACTTCCGCCCGGCGCGAGCCCAGGACCGCGAACTACAATTCCCAGATAGCCCCGCGCTCCAGAACCCCCTGGCCCCAGCAAGCTTTCACTCTCCCGCCCCACTTCCTTTCCTTTAGGGCGATGGTTGGGCAATGTTTTCCGTCTTGGGAGAAGTCACTGGGTAGTCCCGCCCAAGCTTCTTTAAACCACACATCTTTTCCCCTCCTCGGAAGTCTACGAGGGCACTTCCGGGTCACGCGGCTCCCCTAACGCGAGTCATGTGACACAAAGATGGCGGCGCCGCGGTAGCTGGCTCCGGGTTGTGGCGTCCTAGGAGCCGCGACGGTTTCTGCCCTAGGGCCGTGGGAGTGGCAACGCTTGGCTGTTCCCTGCGGCGGCCCGTAGTCCCGCGTTAAGCTCTCGTTCAGGACTAGGGCTGCGGCAGCTGCTGTGGCGGTGGGCTCGGGGGAGCGCCAGTGACCTCGCTGCAGGTGCCTTTCGCCGCCCGCGCTCGCCGGAGGAGGAAGAGGGCAACTGGCCTCCTTGCGTTCCTGACCTGCGGATTTTGCTCGGCCTCCGAGGGCTCCGGAGGAGCTGCACCTCTGAGGGGCTTGCCGAGGCGGAGTCTTCGGATGTGTAAGAGGCAACCTAGTACTCGTGGGGTCGCAAAGAAGACCGCAAGGACTTTGCTTCCTCCTTCAGACGCTTGGCTTCCCCGCCTTGACTATCCCCGCATTCATTTTCACTTCCTCTCAATGTTCTCTTCATATATCTGGAAATATGATCAGCGCCCCTGACGTGGTGGCTTTCACCAAAGAGGACGAGTATGAAGAGGAGCCTTACAATGAGCCAGCCCTGCCCGAGGAGTACTCGGTGCCGCTCTTCCCCTTCGCTAGTCAAGGGGCCAACCCCTGGTCCAAACTGTCCGGGGCCAAGTTCTCCCGGGACTTCATCCTTATTTCGGAGTTCTCTGAGCAGGTGGGCCCCCAACCCTTGCTAACCATCCCCAATGACACCAAAGTTTTTGGTACCTTTGATCTTAATTACTTCTCCTTGCGGATTATGTCTGTGGATTACCAGGCCTCCTTTGTGGGCCACCCACCTGGTTCTGCCTACCCCAAGCTGAACTTCGTGGAGGACTCCAAGGTGGTGCTAGGAGACTCCAAGGAGGGCGCCTTTGCTTATGTGCACCACCTTACCTTGTATGACCTGGAGGCCCGTGGCTTCGTGAGACCCTTTTGCATGGCTTATATCTCTGCAGACCAGCACAAAATCATGCAGCAGTTTCAGGAGCTTTCAGCTGAATTTTCCAAAGCTTCTGAATGCTTGAAGCAGGGCAACAGGAAAGCATTTGCTGGAGAACTTGAAAAAAAGCTGAAAGATTTGGATTATACCAGGACAGTGCTGCACACAGAAACAGAGATCCAAAAGAAAGCCAATGACAAAGGTTTTTACTCCTCTCAGGCAATTGAAAAAGCCAACGAACTGGCCAGTGTAGAGAAGTCCATCATTGAGCACCAAGACCTGCTGAAGCAGATCCGCTCATACCCTCATCGGAAGTTAAAGGGGTCTGATTTGTGTTCTGGGGAGACAGAGAACATGCAGGAGCAGGCCTACCAGGCAGTCACTACCTCTAACCCCGATGAGTCTGTTGACACAGACCTTTACACCTGCAGACCAACCTATACCCCCAAACTCATCAAAGCAAAGTCCACCAAGTGTTTCGACAAGAAGCTGAAGACCTTGGAAGAACTCTGCGACACTGAGTACTTCACTCAGACTCTGGCTCAGCTCAGCCACATAGAGCACATGTTCAGAGGAGACCTATGTTACCTGCTGACCAGTCAGATTGACAGAGCACTGCTAAAACAACAGCACATAACAAACTTTCTCTTTGAAGACTTTGTGGAGATCGATGACAGGGGAGTAGAGAAACAAGAGACCACAGCCCCTAATCCCAGTCAAGATCGCCAGCCTCCCAGGTTTCTGGAAGAATATCCTATTCCTCAAGTGTTGATTAGCGTTGGCTCATACAAGTCTAGTGTAGAGTCTGTGCTGATCAAGATGGAGCAGGAACTTGGAGATGAGGAGTATAAGGAAACAGAGGTGCCAGAATTGAGCAGTTTTGACCCTCAGGAGAACCTGGATTACCTGGATATGGATATGAAAGGGAGTATCAGCAGTGGTGAAAGCATCGAGGTTCTAGGCACAGAGAAGTCCACCTCTGTACTGTCTAAGTCTGACAGCCAGGCTAGTCTCTCGGTGCCATTGAGCCCCCAGGTGGTCAGGAGCAAAGCAGTCAGCCACAGGACCATCAGTGAGGACAGTATTGAAGTCCTCAGCACCTGCCCCTCTGAGGCCCTCATCCCTGACGACTTTAAGGCCAGTTACCCAAGTGCCATTAATGAAGAAGAAGCCTATGTAGATGATAGTGAGGGAGCCATCCACTTCCAGGCAACTGTCAGCCCCCAGGAGCTGGGTGAGGCAGAGGAGGGCAGCTTGGGAAACCCCCCTTTACAGACAGACTCCTCCTGCTGCATTGGGAAGGAGAGCGACAGTCTGCAGATGCCACTCTCCGCTCCAGCCCATTCGCTCTCCGACGAGGATGAAGTGGTGAGCATTCCCCCGCAGCGCTACAGGCAGAAGGACCAGGGCTTCCATGTGGACTTTTCAGTGGAAAATACCAACCCCTCTTCCCGAGACAGCACTTCCGAAGGCTTCCCTGCTTATGAGCTGGACCCCAGCCGCCTGCTGGCCAGCAGGGATGTCAGTAAGACCAGCCTGGATAACTACTCAGACACTACCAGCTATGTGGGCAGCATAGCCTCCACCAGCTCGGACAGGACTCCCTCTGCTCAGCCTGCTGGCTCCTCTTCAGAGAGGCATAAAAAGAGAGCTGGCCAGAACGCCTTAAAATTCATCCGGCAGTACCCCTTTGCCCACCCAGCCATCTACTCTCTGCTCAGCGGGAGGACACTCGTGGTCCTGGGGGAGGATGAGACTATAGTCAGGAAGCTCGTGTCTGCGCTGTCCATCTTTGTCCCCAACTACAGCCGCTGTGCCAAACCGGTGAAGCACTGGGTTTCCTCCCCGTTGCACATTACGGATTTCCAGAAGTGGAAGCTTATTGGCCTGCAGAGGTAATTGATTATAGGTGATGGGAAGGGCCCTGACCAGTTAGAAATGAGCCTTCAAATGTCATCCTCCAGGGAAAGCAGAACAAGTTGGTTTGAACCCAGAATTGGGAGATCTGGCTTTTGACTAGGCCCAGACCCACTCACTCACTGTTATACTTGGCCAAGTTTTCCCCTTTTCTGACTTTCCTTGTGTGTCTCATAAAGGGTCTGCAGTTAAAGCTGCAACCAGGGGATTAGCCTTTTTTTTTTTCTTTTTAAACATTTATTTACCTACACAAGAACTGGGGTACAGGTTAGAGTGCAGGGGATGAGAGATTTCACCAGAGACAGAGTGGGGAGCAGAACAGGCAGATTGAGGAAGTACACTGCTGTGGGGAGCAGCGGGCGGGTCAGGAGAGGTCTGCCATGTGGGTCAGCTCCCTGGCTGGGGATCAAACTCTTATTGCAGTGGCTTTGGACAACTTCACAGTGTTGTGCTTTAACCCCTTGTGCCCCCGGGGAGGGCCTGGGAAGTGCTTTTCTAGGATTGTTTTTTGCTACTGTTTTGGTTGCAGGTGGTTGCCAACCCTGGTTTGCACCCTGCTGGGTCAGAATTAAGTGGGAGAATTTTTTAAATCACTGATTCCTGGGCCCCAACCCCAGAGATTCCCACTCAGTTTGATGTGGGGTAAGACATGGAGTTTATCTGCTGGCAGCAAGGGTTAGAAATGACTGGACTTTCAGGACCTTGCTGATTCTTAAACTCATACTCTGTTGCAAGTGAGGGGAGATGTCCCGAGAAAAGGGCTGCGTTAGTTAGTAACAGATAACAGAGGGACATCAGAGGGCCCCAGTGGCTTTCCCCTTCTGTCCTGTTTGCCTAGAGGCTGCCTGGATGGGAAATGGAAGAGCCAGTCCTTCTCCATCTCTCAGTGTTTTCTATTTCATTTCCCCTTTCACCTGTACTTGAGTGGTTTCTTTGTTTTTATTTCAAAAATTGCTGGACAAGTTGTCTGGCTCACAGGACTCTCAGCATAGGACCTGTCCTTGTTTTCCATTCCTTTTTCTTCACCCTGCTTTGCTCTCCTATAAAACAGAGGTGTCGAGCCAGGTAGTCTTCGGAGACCCTCTGACCCACGTTCTGGCTATGTGGGAAGGCAAAGGGATTTCTTCCACTGCCATCAGCCACCTGTTTTTCCCTTGTTTTCCAGCTTTCCCTTTGCCTAGGTCCCCGGTGGTGAGATCACTAGGTGGTGAGATCACTAGGTGTGTTCGCTCCTCTATAGAAGTCAGCAGGGCTTCCCTTTAATCTTGCTGCAGCGGGCTTGCCACCCAGGTGGTGGTGACAGGAGTCAAGCAAGGGAAGCTTCCACATCATGATTTGAAGCACTTGTTGAGACTGTGCCTCAGGCCGTGCTGGGGAGGTGTTGGGGTATCTGCTGAAGGTACCTGAGCAAGGCCACTGCTTGGGAAGAATCCATACCCAGGAGGATGGTGACCAGAGCCTTGTCACACAGCGAGTCGAGAGTTTTTAACAGTGGATGCCACATATGTTCAAAGGGCACAGTTTTCTGATACGAGGGAAATGAGGAAGCAGTTGGCTGGAGAACGTTGGGGTCTTTGGCCTTTGGGTGAGTGGGCTTTCCAGTGTCAAAGAAGTGATGGTGTGGAAACTTGGTGAGCTGTGCCTGAGACCCCTGGGCCATCTGGTGCTCAGGATCATGGGAATCCCAGGAGTCCTTGCATGTGGGTGCCGCCTCCAGGCCGGGTTAGAGGACTGCATGGAGCCCCCATGGGCTCTGTCCTTCCTGGCTGGAGCTTTTCCTCTGCTGAAGTTGCGCTCTGTCTGCACTCAGCTTGAACTCTGGGGGAGGGAAGGGCTTTACAGGGATTGTGTATTGATCCTGTTCTTGGTGGTATAAGGTGTTGGGCTCCTTCAGACACATCATGACTTGAGTCACTGATGGAGTAGAGACACATCTGTTCCCCAACTCACTCCTCTCACCTCAGCCCTTGACTTTTTCTTTTTTTATGTCAAAAGGTGGAAAATCTAAATACACATCAATATGTTAACATCAGTTGGCTTATCCAGGACCAGCCTTGGGATGGTCTTGCCCTCTGCAGAGGCTTTCTCTGAACTTCCCTCCTCAGGATATGCCAGGATGGCAGGAGGGTCATCTCTTATAGTTCCACTCTGCTGGGAACCTGGCTGGAGTGTTGTGGTGTGGAGGATTCTGAGGCGGTGGCAGTGGAAAGACTGTTGCAATCAACAGCAACAGACTGTTGCTGTGGGTGTGAGAGAGGTTAGCCAAAGACTGGGTAGTGTAGTTGGTACCCTGAGGCACCTTAAAGTGGGGCGTGAGGCCGTCAGGGTGCCAGCCCAGGCCTGTCTACCCATAGTGAGCCCTTGGCAAGTCACTTAGACTTTTTCTTTTTTGGAGAAAATAAGAAGGTTGTATCACTGAATGATCATCTGCCAAATATTTACTAAGAGCGGTCAAGTGCCAGCTGCTGTGCCCAGGGCCAGAATAAGGTGAGTCAGCGTTGGTGTGTCCCATGGCAGGGCATGCACGGTCTTTATGGGCCGCCCTCACTCCAGCCCCAGCTCTGTCACCACCTGTCAGCTTGACTTTTGCAAGACTTTGAGAGTGTTTGCATCTGCAGACAGCCTGATGAGGCCAAGCCTGTGACAGCAGATATCCAGGGGCTCGGCACCTCCGCTTTGCACCTGGAAGGGGTGAACGCTACTCTGTGTGCTAGCAGAACTCAGACTGCAAGGCAGCAAGCCAGGGTAGCTGGCACTGGGTGTGGTCCTCACTGGCCAGACATCAGAGCCTTTAAGCATTGATCTGTCAGAAGTGACAGTGGAGATCTTTCCAGAGAATCCCAAGTGGGCGAGAGACTCATCACCTCTTCCATTACTCCTTCTTGAACCTGACATGTGGATGTTGGGAATTGGAAACATCTGCCGCCAGAGGTCCTGCTGAGGTAGGCACGGTTGGAGCCCTTGTTTCTGTGGAGATGTGTCACTGCAGGCTCCACCATGGGGTGACATGGAGTGGAGACCGCTCACCTGGAGAAATCCCGGGAGCTGAGCAGGGAACAAGGAGCATCATGAGATTAAACTGAGATTATGGTCCGTGGCAGTTACAGAGGAGCCGGCGATGGTCCTAGTTCAGGTCCTGGTGCTGCTACTAGTAGCTGTGCGATCTGGACCATTCATCTCTCCTACATTCCATACAGCATGTCTGTGAAGCGGCCCGATGGCGCCGCCACACAGAACTGTAGGGGACGTCAGTATCTAGGTGGTGACTGCTTGGCCCTGGAAGTGCTCACACTTGTGGGCAGATGGTGAGAGAGGCTCTGTCTTTTCTTCTCAACCAATCTTGGTAAGCTGTACAGGGACTTATCTCCTAGGAAGGCAAACATTGTGAGATCACTTTGGTCCCAAATGCCTGTCAGATTTTTTTTTGTGTGTATTGTTTATTCTCTTAGTTGTTATCCTCATAAAATTCTAGCCACCAAGACACCATCACCATTGTCTCTTATCCTCTTCCTCTCCCTGTTTTTACCCCTCTCCCTTCCCCATCCCTAATGAATTTTTCTGATTTATAGTTTGCCTGCTAATTTTCTCTCCCCACCCCCATCCCTTGTATGGTTTCCCAGTGTTCCTGTAAGTGAAACAATCCAATATTTTTCTTTCCTTCTAACTTATTTCACTCAGCATAAGTCCCTACCAGCTCCATCCATGTTGCTGCGAATGGCATGAGTTTATCTTTGATGACTAATACTCCATTTTTTAAAAAAGATTTATTTATTTATGCATATAAGAACTAGGGTGCAAACCAGAGGTATGGGGGCTGGGGCGATGAGAGGATTTACGAGACAGAGTGGGGAGCAGAACAGGCAGATGTACTGAAATACACTGCTGAGGGGAGCAGTGGGTGGGTCAGGAGAGGTCTGCTGTGCCATGTGGGTCAGCTCCCTGGCCAGGGATCGAACTCATGCTGCAGTGGCTGCGGATCACTTCATAGCATTGTGCCTTAACCCGTTGTGGCACTATGGAGGGCCTTGACTGAATGGTATTCTATTGTGTATGTATACCACATCTTTTTAAACACAGTATCTTAGGTCTGAAGGTCCTAAATCTTTATTGGGCAATCCCAGCTTCTCTGGGAAAACTGTCTAGAGTTGTTAAGTTTTAAGGAGCAGCCTGCTAAGGCTAACCATTCCCTCATTTCCTCTCTGAACAAACGTGGCCTGCCCCAGGTCAGGAGGCCAGTCAGACACAGTCCTGCATCAGCAGAAGCTCTTTGTCTAGTGAGAGAGACAGGAAGATACATGGCAGTCACCCCACTGGTCAGCGCCAGGCACTCTCCTGAGCACACTCACTTTGTCTCCACAGTGACCTCACGAGGTCGGGGTTAGCTGACAGCTTACAGATGAGGCCCAGCAAGGTTAAGAAAATGATCCAGGTAACATAGCAAGAAAATAGGGACTCTGGGATCACCAGATCAGGTTCCTGTTGGTGTAAACCAAGCATAAAAGGGAGGGCAGGTTATTCTGGGCAGGGCAAATTGGCCCACAATTTTGAAGCCCCCTGGAAGCTTGACATGACTAACGGAAGGAACAGACGAGCTCTCAGAAACCAGCAGGAATTAGGTTGTGAATAGCCTTGGGGGCCACATCCGGGCCCCTAAACTTGGTCACAAGGGAGCTGAGGCCAGTCCCAAGCTCCCGCCCCCATCTTCCTTGCCCTCCCCTTCCTCCTGATCTTGCTCTGTGTGTTTCAGAGTGGCATCACCTGCTAGCGCTGGCACTCTGCATGCCCTGAGCCGCTACAGCCGCTACACAAGCGTTCTGGACCTGGACAACAAAACCCTGCGCTGCCCGCTCTACAGAGGCACCTTCGTGCCCCGGCTGGCAGACCACCGCACTCAGATCAAGCGGGGCAGCACCTACTACCTGCACGTGCAGAGCATGCTCACCCAGCTGTGCGCCAAGGCCTTCCTCTACACCTTCTGCCACCACCTGCACCTGCCTGCCCACGACAAGGAGACCGAGGAACTGGTGGCCAGCCGCCAGGCAAGCTTCCTGAAGCTGAACCTGGGTCTGGTGAATGAAGATGTCAAAGTGGTCCAGTACTTGGCGGAGCTGCTGAAGCTGCACTATATGCAGGAGTCTCTGGGGACCAGCTACCCCACGCTCAGGTTTGACTATGTCCCCAGCTTTTTGTACAAAATCTGAGGTCAGTCCTTGTCACTGTGACCAAGACCTGCGACTCAGGGTATGGGGGGAGGGGTTGGCATGACCAGACAGTCCTCTGAGCAGTTTAGACTTCTGGTGTCATCAGTGGGAAGGGACCCAGGGTGGCAGCTGTAGTTCACAGATGGCTTCGGGCAGCTTGCGAGTTGAACTTGGGCCAGGGTGGGATTTGTTGGGGTAGCCTGGTGCTCTCTGAAGGCAGCTAGGAGGATAGTAACAGCTCTCTGCTCCCTGGTGAGGAGTGGCCCTGGAGCTGGGGGGGGCTCTTGGCTCCTGCAGGACTGGAGGCCATGACAGAATGACGCCTCTGTGGGTGGCATGAGAGGCAGGAAACTGAAGCCGGGAGGAGGAGCGTGCGGGCCACATTCACTCCAGTGGACACTTCAGTGGCAAAAATCACGGGAAGCAGCCAGTTGTCTGGAATGATTTGGTGGAGAACAGGACGATGGAACATCCATGGCCTCGTTCAGGCTCCAACTTGGGCCCTTTGGGAACCCTCCTAGAGCCCATCATCCCAGCAGAGGCCCCTCAGCGAGTGGGAAGGAGGGAGAAAGCTGCCCTAGCTGGGTGGTAGGGTTGTACAACCTTTTGAGACTGCAGAGCAGTCGGGCACTGTGTGCTTGCTTGCTCACGGGCACAGAACCTGTGAGTCGGCCTCGGAAATGACTCCAGGGGACAGCAGGAGCGACTGAGCATCCCTCACCAGCTGTGAGAGCTACTCTGGGACGGGGAGCCTGCGAGGCCATCACCACTGTGCGAGCAACGAAGAGCTCTTTTGACCAGAGGGAGCTGGCGCTGGCCTCTGGGGGATGGTCTGCCGACACGCCGGGACTCGGCAGAGGTCGCGCCCTCCTCGCACCCATAGCAAACCTTCACAACCGCTTCACTACCTCTCCCAGGGTCTCAAGCGCCTGGCAGTTGGTTGGTCTGGGTGGGCAGCTCAGCAGGTGATAACTCGTGGCAGGGAGACAGGGAGGGGGCAGGTTCTCCGTGTGGGTTTCTTTGTGGTTGTGGCTCTGCCCGAGGGAGTCTGCAAGGTGCACGCCTCACTATGGCTCACCCCCCACACCTCAGACCCCCCCCTCTCCCTCCAAGGTATGGGCACCCCGCCACAGCTCACCTGACTCCTTTCGGTTTTAAGTTGTTTCCCCCTGAACAAGAACTCTTGGTGGTAGTATTTTTTAATTTGTTCTAAGAAAATTGTGATAAAACAGACCTGAAGTGGTGCACTTGCGTGCACATCGGTTGGCACCGTGTTCTGTGTACTTAGGGGCCTACTCCCGAGACCTGGTCTGCCCACCAGCTTTGTGGCGCTCCAGTGAGCTCTGGGGGTGGGGAGGTGGGAGGCGGGGCAAACTCCTGGCCTCCTGGTGACCAGTGAGGGCTAGTGTCACGGCAGCCTGTGGCCCTTTCTCGCCCAGGTCCCGGCACAAGGCACAGCCTGTTGGCTTCCAGCCATCAGCTCTGGTCAGGTCCCCGTCCCCTTCAGGTGTGTCTGCTCAGAGGCCGTGACGGGGCACTGCTGCGGCAGACGGTGCTGCCTACATCTTGTTTCATCGTACCCGTTGCTTGTGTTCACACACGAGTTGCCAGGAACATCTTGGCAGCTTTTAAATGTGAAGTGCGTGTCTGTCCGTGGGGAGACTGCATAGGAAGTCTGTGGCTCCCCTTCTACCACCTCCACTCCTTTGTGTTCTAGATGCTGCTTTCTTTTCTAACCAGGTGGCTAATTGCTATCTACCTGGACCACCAGGGACTTGACCTTGTGACATTTTATCTCCAAGGGAAGAAAGGTCTGGGGGGTCCATATGAAGAGGTGGGCAGTAACCATAGGCAGCCCTTCTCTCTTTGCTCCTGTTCCACACCAGTATGGACTCTCTAGTTCACCCTGTTCTCACCTGGGAATTGGATAGACAAGGTCAACCATATTTGGGCTTCTAGAAGCTAAAGCCATGACTGCAATGGTCTGAAGTAGAAGTCCACTGTGGGGTGTGTTTACTTGGAAGCTTCTTCCTCGAGGATGGTTCAGAAGGCCCCGAGGATTCTAAGGCCAGAGGGTCAGGTATGAACAGAGCAAACTGGCCTGGGCGCCAGCCACAGGAAAGTTGGAGGAGTATCTCAGTAGCGCGGCTTCTTCGTGCAGAAGTCAATTTGCGGAAGTTTGAACTCAGAATTTAAATTTTGTTAAGATCTTAAAGCTTTTCATGGGGGCCGTTTCAAAGGATTGCTTGATGCCAGCCAACTGTGTTTCTTTCCAAAGAGATGTGAAAGTGGTTCTGGGACTGAGCCACAGAGTGGGCACAGGTGGTGGAGATGCGAGGCTGCCCCTCGCCCACCCCACCCCACTTTGAAGAACTGGGACAGAAGTCTCATATCTACAAATCTTAATGTTGGGGAGATCTATGCAATGAGACGAACCTCTTGAAAGCTTTCATTTGAGATTTCCTTCTAGTAATAAGTCAGTAAATTTTCATGACACATTTAAAGATATTTCCCCCACACAGAGGGCATCAGTGCCTCTAGTATTTTAGACTTAACTATAACTTTGAGGATTATTTCAACTTCCAATTCAGTCCTCCCATTACCGCTAAGAGCAGTCCAGGTTAAGAAACACCTGGTCAGGTTAGCAATTAAGCAGTAGTAGTTTCCAGAAACTCCATTTTAGAACTCAGCTAAAGCCTTTCATAGTACCCGTGGCACTCGGACATGGCTTGAGCTGCCACCTCACACCTCGCTGCTCCCTAGGGACTTCAGTCCTTTAGTGGAATCTTTGGATTGTGGAAGCTGTCACTTTTCTGTAATTGCTGGCAGTGGCTAAAGTCGTACACACTGTACCAGAATCTGGAAAACAGACCTTGATGACTCACCTCTCATTTGTCACCAAGCTTTTAACTTGTTTCAGATTAGTTGCAATATTCAAGTACAATAGACTTCCACCCTAAACCAGTAACACATTCCATGTCGACTCCTAGAAGTCCTAGGCAGGCAGCAGACTGGACCCCCGGCGCCACGGCCGCTGCAGTTCAGCAGTGTCTTCCTGGAGGCAAGAGCAGTCCGGGAACCCTTGCACGCACACTGACCACTTCTGCATGCATGTCTCCCTCCCTGGGCCTGCAGGTGCGTGGCCGATGAGCGCCCGCCCTGATGCTAGTGTGGTCTCAGCTGGTGGGGAGCCCCATGGTGAAAGTGGATGGCCTGCACAGAACTCATCCCCCAAGCTAGCAATCAGGTTTTATCTGCCAGCTCCCTAGAGCGCACAGAAGGAAGTGATTTGCTTCACGCTTTGAAGCCAGCCAACTAGCTTTCTGGCTTTTCTCCAAAACTATGATGATAGAAAATGATAAAATTGTAATCGCTAAAAGAAATGTGGTATTAAAAGATCCTAAAAAGGAAAAAGCATGAGTCTCTGCTTACCTGATAGGAGTTAGAGCCCTGGCCCAAACCTGGCCTTATTCCTAAAGGCCTCACTATGGCCCTAGGGAGAGGGAGCAGGAGTGGAGGGATGAAACAAGTAGTGAATTCACCTTTGCCTTGGGACCCCACTTCCCAGGAAAGCAGCTCTCATTGGGAGCCCACACTATGACCCTTTGTCTCTGGTTGGGGGGGGCTGGGGAGTGAGCACAAATGTCAGAATGTCTTTGCAGCATAATGGCTCCCAAACTGAAAGCAGATGTGTGACAGGTGTAACCCCCACACTCTGGAGACTGCAGCAGTGTCCCCACCAAGTAAGGCCCCAGGCCCCAGGGACATGTTTCAGACGGGGGACCACACCCACCCACTGGCTGGCTACACAGGCTGGGCTGAAATAAATGCCACCCTTATGGTTGCAGTGAAAAGCATAGTCTGTGAGAAATTCCTGTATGTTATTTTCTGAAAAGCTATTTTATTATTGCATGTTCTCTTGTCCATGCGTGTGAATGTGAGTCTGACAACCACGGGAGCTGCAATCGCTGTCACGGGCCGGGGGCACGAGTAGAGACGCGCACGTGTGTCATAGCAGCTCCTGAGTGTAACTGCACAAGAATTTAACCAGAGTAAATGCCAAACAAATAGTATGAGAAGTGTACTTTTTAAGAAATTAATTTATTTGAGTTCAGATATTTTTGAAATATAAAAATTGGTTGTATTTTTTAAAGCTATAATTCTTGTAGACATTCTGTGGTTAAAAACTTGATTGTGCTTATTAAAACTGGTCATCTATGTTTTGCACTTCAGCTTTGTGAAAAATAAAGTTTCTTTGGGAAGGTGACACTGGTGTCCTGACTACAGGAGGGAGCTGGTTATCTCAGGCACGGCAGGGAAGGCTGATTCTCAGGCTAGGGTGTGACTGGGGCACCCCCAGGCTCCACCACTGGCCCAGAGCTGGCGGGAGGAGGCCACTTTCACACATACTGAGCTGCTGCTCGAGAACACCCCAGCATTACTGGGTGGCACCTCATACAGGCATCTAATAATTCCGATTTAAAGCACAGAGCGGAAGCATCAGGAGAATTTCCCTTTCATTTATAGAGGTCCCATTCCAGTGGCATCCCTCTGGGATGGGAAGGGGAAGCTTTCACAAACTGCAACTTGGGCTTCTTAGCTTTTGAATTAGAATGGGGAAATCCAGTAATGGTGAGAGAAAAGGGAGTGAAATCATCAGAATCTTTCCAGTAGCTCTGCCCTACACCATCTGAATGAATTGTGGGCAAGAGGCTAAAAAACATTTCACTTTTTCCAGAAAAATTACATAGATTTGTGAGGAAATGAAGTTCAAATTTAAATTTGTCTCAGAATTACTAGTAATGAGCCTTCAACACATTTTACTTTTTGAAGATTACAGGAGAAAAATCCAAAAAGAAATCTTGGCACAAAACAGCTAGTCAGGTCCCAAGTGCGGCAGACTTCCTTCTCCAAAGGTCTGGGCCCCTCCTACGCAGCTCACCGGAGGCCACATCAGTGCATCCACGCGAGGAAGTGCAGCCAGCCGGCTCTTTAGAAGTCAGGCAGGCCAGGGAGAGGGAAGAGAGAAGCAAAGCTCTCCACTTCCTCCCTGAGAGCCTTGACGGCCCTCTGGTACTTCTCATCGCCTTCTAGTTTCTCTTTGAACTCTTTCAGGGTGGCCTTGACACCCACGTCGTTCTGAATCTGCAGAGTCAGTTCAATCCCTGTGTCAGCAAGAGACAAAGAATGAAGCTGTGGCCTAGCAGGCCCCAGAGGCCCTTCTCCCAGGTGCCCCAGTGGCGGGGCTGTGACAGCTGTGGGTGTAAAGTCACCCTAGAGCTGCTGCTTCTATGCCCTCCTCGGGCAGGAGAGATGCACGCACCTCAGGATGGCTCGCTGATGTGGCATCTCCTGGCCCTGGCACTCGGCCCCAACACCTAAGTGTCTATCCGTGGCTGGGTCTCAACCCCTCAGTTGAAAACGCCATTCACAAAGTACAGGGTGACCAACTTCCACCTTTATGCCTTACCTCTGTGAATCAAGTGTGCGACTTTCTGGAACTCTTTTTCCAAAAGTCCTCGGGAGGTGAGCGCTGGGGTCCCCAGTCGCAGTCCACTGGGTCGCAGTGCACTTCTGTCACCTTCAAGATAAACAGAATGTGTCCCTGGGCCACACCCAGCACACCACTGGGCAAAAAGAACAGGCCTACAGACGGCGGGTAGAAGAGCATAGTTGATTTCAATGTGAGTCAGCAGCTTGTTCTGGCTACTTGTTTTATTTATTGTTTTTAGGAGTCATTTATTTATGCATACAAGAACTGGGATACAGTCCAGAGGTACAGAAGAGTGAGAGGATTTCCCAGAGACAGAGTGGGGAGCAGAACAGGCAGATATATTGAAATACACTGCCGAGGGGAGCAGCGGGCAAGCCAGGAGAGGTCTGCTGAGCATGTGGGTCACTCCCTGGCCGACTGGGGATCGAACTCATGCTGCAGTGGCTGGTGACAGTTCGATAGTGATGTCTAACCTCTGTGCCACCAGGGAGGCTCTAGATACTCATTTTAAATAGCTGCCTGCATGACGTGGCCCTTGCTCCTGAAATTGAGGCTTGCTAGCCTGTCTGGGTTTGAGATGTATTGCCCACATTTGGTTAACAGCCCATGGAAAAGTCCAGCAGTCTTCTGGAGACCCCTGCCTGCCTCATCCAAATGCCTGAAGTGGGCTGGGGGAGCCCCTGTCCCACCCTGCATGGTATGTCTGTCCCCTCCATATTGTCTGATGTCTGTCCTCAGAGCCAAATTATCATTGACTAGAACTGTGGCCAGAGGAGATGCAGACAGGAGAGAGACACAGCAGAGAAGACCAAGAATTCTCACCTGGGCAGGTGTTCTTGTTGCAGGCAATAGAACAGGCCTCTAACACCTTCTCAGCCCTGCCACCATCGGTGCCTTTGGAACGAAGATCCACGAGGATCAAGTGGTTGTCAGAACCACCTAGAAACAGTTTAGACTGTAAGATTGCAGAAAGCTGATTCCATGCCAAACGAAGGAACCTCTCCCTAAGAGGGCAGGCAGGGGAGGGGGCTGCAGTGGCTGAGCAGGAAAGTGAGTTGCCCCCACCTGTGTCCTGGAGGCACCCCACCTTCCCAAGGCCTAAGATTTTGACAGAAAGGGCAGAATGTCTTGGGAAAAAGGGTGGGGGGGGGGAGGGTGGTGCTGATGACACAGAATGTAAGGGGAAAATGACATGAGCTTTTTTGTAGCCCAGACTGCTGACTCCCGTGAGCCGCCACAGCAGGTACCAGCAGAGGCCTGGAGGCAGGATAGGCTGACAGCTTGTCAGTGCCACTCTGTTTTCTGAGAGAGCACTTAGGGATTTCCCAGGTGTCTCTGAAATCAATCTTCGAGGCTCCCTCTAAGGCAGCATCACAGTAGCAGGAAGTGGTTCTATCCATGGTAACAGTGGGGTACCACTGCATTTCCCAGACATAGCAGCCTGTCACGTTTTATCCCTAATCCTGTGAGGCGGACAATATTTTTTTTTTATCAGTGTGGTGCTTTGATGGTAGTGTTGAGTAACAACACTGGGTGTCAGACCTACAAGAACTTTCTAGAATTGGCCCAAGGGGTCTTCCACACATCTAAAACTTGCCACCTTTATCATTCCCGAGACTGACTGACTGAGCACTTCCCAGGAAGCTAGAGTCCTCTGCAGGACCCAGCGACTTCTCAGGGCAGTTCCTCCACCTTGCTTTTTGTTTTGTTTTGTTGTTTTCCCAACTGTATGACACTCTGGGAAAAGACAAAGCTATGGAGATAGTAAAAAGATGAATAGTTGCTAGGGGTTAGGGGGAGGGGTAAACAGACAGCACACAGAGCATTTTTATTTTTTTGTAGAGCAAAAGACAAAAGCCAAGGCCCAGAGAGGAATAAAACCACTTGCCTAGGCGCCCACAGCTAGCAAGCCAGATCCTAGGTTGGAGTCCGGGGCCCGGCTCCAGGGAGCTGCTCTTTGGTACCACAGTAAACTGTTCCCGAGATTTAGATCTTTCTTTTTTTCCTTCTATGTATTCTTCTGTACCTGTCTGTCTTAGATCTTTCCATGTTAGACTCTCATGTATCTTAAGTCCTTGACTTGAGCAAAAGCAACAATTTTATAGCTTTAAAAAGGCTGATTAGAGCTTAAGTCTCAGGCCCTCCGATGACTGACTACATGTCTGTAGCCAGGCAGCTCAACATCCAGGAAACTCACGTGCTCGTTTGCAAAATAAGACTGAAAAATTCAAAGCTTTCATGAGGAATAAGTAAGGCACTGCTTATAGTGACTGACCAGATTCAGGTACCACATGGGGACCCATAAACAGGGTGTGATTTTGGTCACTTTCATCTGCTCCAGCCACTGCCACCTTGTCTGCAGAGTAGAGTGAACTGAGAGTGAGGGCAGGCCCAGAACTCAGGAAGGCGGACATTGTTTTCCCTGGGCTGCCAGGGCTGCCCTGTGACACCTGTATCAGGGAATTTGGCCTACATCCTTGCAACTCCAAGTCCAGTTCCCAGACCAGCACCCCCTGGAGTTAATCAGAAAAGCAGACCCCACCCCGGACCTGCAGAGTTGGAGCCTGCGTTTTAACAGGGTGCCTGGGACATCAAAGGCACTCTCAAGTTTGAGAAACAGTGACCTCAGGGCCTTGAGGGTCATGGTCCACACTTGGATTTCCAGGGCTTTCTTACAGGAAGATATGGAACATGAAGAAAAAGGAAGTAGAACAGAAGGGGTACCAGGACTGCGAGCAGGCAGTGTGGCCCCCGCTCCGCAGCCATCAGCACTGCTCGGTGGCAGCCCACCCCTCAGACGGGGGCCATAAGGCTGTCAGGGCCAACGCGTGGGTGCCCAGGTCTAAAGCATGCCAGGACCCAGCCACCCCTCTGGCAACACCCTGGCAGCTCTCCCCAAGAAAAGCAGTACGTCATCTGCCAGAAAACTGCTTCCTCACTGAGTAAACTATAGGACCGAGGCGACCGGCACCCAGAGCAGGGTCCTGACCTGGGCCCTCTCGGGCTGACCAGCACCCTGAGCTCTTGCGTCAAAGCAGACTGAGGCGCTATATAAAAAATAAAAATGCTCTGTGTGCTGTCCGTTTATCCCTCCTCCTAACCCCTGGAGTCTATTCATCTTTTTACTGTCTCCATGCTTTTGTCTCTCACAGAATGCCATACAGTTGGGCACTGCCCACGGGAGGGCTCCTGCCTCTGCTGCCTGGGGGCGGGGGCTGAGTGGAGACACTCCCAAGGGACAGCGGGCTTCTCTGCCCTCTCGGTCCTGGCTGTGCCAGAACCAACTGTGGGCCGCGGTACCTGACCGCCAGGTGAGCCTGTGGCCCTCCTCTCACAGAGCTGTTCTGAGGACTGTGAGCTCACGGGCCGGTGACAAGCGGCAGCTACTACAGTTGGTCCTTGAACAACAGGGATTTCCACTGTGCAGGTTCCCACTATACAGGTTTTCTTATAACCAACATAGACTTACAATATTGATAAATAAATAGACAACTGTGAATATTTTCCTTGTGATTTTCTTAAAAACATTTTTCTCACCCACTTTGCCCTTAGAATGTGCTGTACGAATATGACATACAAAATATGTTACCAGTCTGGGAGAGCCAACATCCAGGTACATGCTGATTTTCAGCTGTTGGGGTGGGGGAGGGGACTGACCCCCCCCCAACCTGCACATTGTTCAAGGGTCAGGGGTGTGGCCGCCACCCACGACCTCGCCAGGGAGACAGCTGGCACTGAGGAAGAGGCCACAGAGGGCACGCCAACTCCTCTGGTGTGAGGTGGTCTCCAGGTGCCCCACAGCTGTGGCCACCGTGCCCAGGGCCACCACCCTGGGGCCATGCCCTGCCAGGACCAACTACCAAGTCTGTCGCCACCTGTTACCACTTTGTAGCCCAGCTCCATCAAGGTCTTCGCCAGAGCCCTGCAGTTGGCCACCACCTGGTGCTGGTAAAGTCTGAATTCGGGAGTCATGGCTTGCTTCAGGGCCACAGCAACCCCTGGCGGAGGAGACAGAGGGTGGGAGGACAGCACAGGGTCAGAGGACAAACTGGGCTGAGCCACCGCACCCCTTGTTTCCACGCAGGCTCCCTGCTTTTCTGCGTTGCTCAAGGGAGTGGATGGATCACATTTACCCCAAAATGGTATCAAGCTCTTTATCAGTGGGGGAGACATTCCAAGACCCCAGTGGGTGCCACAAACGGGGATAGTTTTGAAGTCTCTGGACTGTTCCTTCCGACACACACATACTTAGGAAGTTTAACTTATAAATTAGGCACGCTAAGAGATGAACAATAGTAACCTATGCTTTTCCTCTACTGTCTTCCCACCGGAAAGCCTGGCACATTTTTGGTAGCCTGGTGAGAAGGGAATAGGGGTGGTAGGATGAGCCAAAGTGGGACAACTGCCAGACAGCATCGGGGCACCAGGGTGACAGTACTCCCCACCCCCAGGCGCTGGGTTTGGTGTGGTGATGTTTTACCAGCAATGGCGTGGTTGTGGGGGCCCCCCTGCAGGCCTGGGAACACAGCCGAGTTGATGAGAGACTCCAGGTTGTACAAAATCTCTTTGCCGGTCTTGGCATCCACGCTGCGCACTCCTGGATGAAGAAAAACACGTAAACATCTGATAGGCCACCCGCTTGTTTTCTCCGCCTGAATTCAAATCTGAACTGGCCATGGGGTGCTGTGCACAGGCCTACTCTTAGCAGCAAGGTCTACTCGAAGATCCTGGGGAGCAGAGGGACTTCTTAACTTCCAGGAGGGCCAACCACCTGTCTCAAGGGTGAAATGAAAAAAATAAAAATTTCCCTTCACTGAGAAGAGAACAAAGACTATGCCGTAGGCATATTTCCTCAAAGAATTGTCCAAGAGAGCAGATGTCCAGGAGGCATTGTCCAGGAGGACAACTTTGAAGGAAACAAAACTCATTTGCCTGTAGTATATGTAATTATAAAATAATGGGGAATAAAGTCCCTTTCTGAGAAAAAGTAAAATGAAGTTCGTCAGTAAGTGCTAGAGTCTCGACAGAGCCTCTTGTGAGCACTTTCCAGCAATGAATTCGCTTACTCCTCACAACAGCCGTCTCAGAGACTCACCATTCTGACCCCATTCTGGAAGTGAGGATGCGGCACGGTGCCCTGGGATGTGCCCAGTGTGTGTATGGCACAGACAGGACTGGCGGGGCCAAGCAGGTCAAAGAAGCCAGGTCAACACTCAGTGGGAGAAACAACCATCCCCCAGGCAGGTGGCATGGCTACCTGCCTCCGCGAGCTCAACGCACCGAGAGAGTGCGGAGACGGCAGCACACTGGGCACCTGAGTGGGCACATGGTGTGTCCAGCCTGGCCAGGGGCTGGGCAGGGAGACCCTGTGGGGCTAATCCAGTACCAGTGGCTGGTTTCCCTGCTGATGCAAGGGTCGTGCATCTGGCCTCTCCATGGGCTGAGGGGGTGCATCACTGATGTGGCTGTGTTCCCAGGCTTGTGAACCCCAACATAGAGAAAAGTGTTTTGATGTGAATCAACAGGAATTCCTCACTAAAATGATGAAACTGTACTGTGTCTCATAAATCCCTGTTTTATGATTTGATTACAATTTCCTGTTCTCTGGACTACAGTAATGTCGCCAAAACAACGCTGCACTCGAAGCCTTCTAAGGTAGGCCACAATCAGTCATGTCATCTTCCTTTCCCTACAACGTCCACTTCCTGTGGGGATTAGGTCAGCCAAGGATGCTGGTTTCAAGCACAGCATCCTTTCCCAGGACCAGGTTACCCAAGCAATGAGGCAAGAGTTGTGGCCCAGGCTTCCCTCCAGACCCCTTTTTAAAGTCTCACTGGCCCACAGAGATCATAAGTAGCTCTCTGAGAAATCCTAACACCATCTAGGAATCCCAGGTTTGTTTTTCCGGGCTCTCCACAATGACCATGAGTCCCCTGAGGCCGCTGGCACCCGCCCCAGGCCCCACCCGTGGGAGCATACCTTTCCTATAGAAGATCATGCCGGCTCTGCAGCCTCGCAGGGTTTTGTGGGTGGTGGTGGACACCACGTGGCAGTGTTCAAAGGGGGAGGGCACCACGCCAGCTGCCACCAGTCCACTGATGTGTGCCATGTCAGCCATGAGATACGCCCCGTTGTCATCTGCAATCTTCCGCAGCCGAGCGTAGTCCAGGTTCCGGGAATAGCAGCTGGTTCCTAAGATGGCAAGGGGCCACGGTCAGGTCGGTGTTCGCAGTCAGCTGCGGTGCACATCTGCAAAGTGGCCTCTGGAGAAGCCCATGTGGCAGTCTGGGGGTTTCTCCTTCTCAAATCTCTGCAAACAGAATGCAAAGACACCCTCCCGAAACATCTTTGTGCCAAAGGCAACTACTCTGATCTGCCTCTTCAAGGTCCTGGTGGTTGGGATGGCCCCCAAGCATTACTTCCACCTCCAACTGGCCAGGGATTAACACTTCAAGATCCTTCAGTCAAAGCAGCGTCTGCTCTTATTCCACTTAGTACATTGGTGGCAAACACGGACATTTGTCTTGAAAGAAAAGAATATACTTAGACCCGAGCAGCTCAGCTATCCATGGTGGAAACTAGTAGTGAGCAGGGGCAGGCCTGGAGACACCACCACATCTCCACCTGGGGAGAGCAAGGGGTCCCCCCACACACACACACACAAGCGTGGCTCCGCCCACCCAGCCCATCACCTGCAATAATCAGCTTCGGGTGGAAGAGGCGGGCGTTTTCCTCCAGCTGCTCATAGTTGACGTAGCCAGTGTCCGGGTTCACCTGTGGAACATCATGGAGGCATCACACCAGCCTCCAGCCTCGCCGTGCCTGCCCTCCCAGCGCCCTGGCGCCCGCTGTCAAGCACAAGCTGCCTTCCTCTGCATCTGCCCAGGCTGCCGGCGCCACACTGCCACAGAGCAGGAACATGTGGGTTGGGGCGGGTCACACGGCCTGCTCACAGTCCTGAGGCCATAGAGCTGCCAGGGGGAAAGTGGGGTGCTGCTCTGGGGGGGCTACCTCTGACTAGAAGGACCCAGGAAGTCACTACAGAATGACACAGGCGTGACAATCCTGCCCGGGGTCGAGACACCGTCACTTTCAAGAATGAGACAAAATTCATTTTTTTGTCTAACTAACGCCACTTCTAGGCTCAGGTACAAGGAGGCAAGACAAAGAAATAAAGGCAAAGGGTTAGAGGATGAAAGAAGGCTGACATTACTCACAGACACCAGGCCACCTAGAAAGCACAAGACTACGGGTGAACTGTCAGAATTAACAAGCAGATGCAGCCAGGCCCCTGGCTACAGGGTCAAAAATTAAATTATATGCAAAAAAGAAAACAAAATTTGCTAACAATGCAATAGTGTTGTATTGTTAACAATACACCATAACATAAACTAATGAAAAACTGATCAGACCTCTACACAAAATGTTACTGAGAGAAACTGAAAAATACTTCTTTAAATTTTAGTAATTAGGGCAGAGTGTGTCTGTGGGAGCCAAGATGCACCTGAGCTGGAAGCTAAGCCCTCGCAAATGTCGGCCACCTGTCCCTGACGGGGCTGCGGGCAGGGCGGTTTCCCAATAAATGGCAATCGGCCAGCTGAATATCCCCACAGAAAACAAAATGTTAACTGGATCCTTAACTCATCCACACAAATCAATTCCAGATGAACTGCAGATATGGCTACATGAGAAACAAAACAGTTCTGTGTTCTTTTTGGTGATGTATGTCTACGGAAGGTTCAGTTTGTTAGTTAGATTACAACATACACACCAAGGGGCAGCAAAAATGGGATTCCTTAGGAAAAATTTCAGAGGTTAGGGCTCTCCCTGGTGGTGCAACGGGTTAAAGCTCTGCACTATGAAGCTTTCAGCAGCCACTGCAGCGCGAGTTTGATCCCCAGCCAGGGAGCTGACCCACGAGGCGCAGCAGACCTCTCCTGACCCGCCTGGCGGGGGAGGGTGTGAGGCCCTGGCTCCAGCCTCTTGTGGAGGCCGCAGAGCCAGCTTGACTCTGCTATGGAGGGCTGCGTGCCAACCCAGGGGCTGCTGGCATCCTGGGGCTGTGGCCTTCCTGATACAGCCTCAGCCTACCCAGATAGCAGGGGCTTTGGGGGCCCTAGCAGGACTGTCACTAGGCCTGGTGTAGCTACCTGGTTGCAGGGGGAGTTACCCTCTAGTTCTGGAGCAGATATCAGCCCTGCTATGGAGGAGACCTCAGTCTTTGCCTCCCCACCTTAGCTCGGTCCCTCAGTTCTCCATCCCAGCTGCCTCCTGCGTTCCCTGGATAGCTAGGGAAATGACAAATGAACAAAACTAGTCAAACCTGTGGGCACAGCCAAACGGGTGCATACCTGTCGGCTTTCTGAGGATCCGATTACAGAAATACACAGATGTTCTCTTACCTTATAGGGCATAGACTCAAAGAAGATGGATGTAGCAGAGATTTTCTTCTTGTCTGTCATGAACCCATGAGTCAGATGACCCCCGTCAGGCAGGTCCAGGCCCATGATGCGGCCATGGGGTTCCACCAGGGCCGTATATACTGCGAAGTTTGCAGGGGAGCCTGGAACGGGTAGACCAGAGGAGGTTCCATTACTGCTGCTCAGAGAATGGCCAGAATGAGCCTGGGCACTGTTATGCATTCCCTGAGCCCCCAGAAGTTCCCCACCCCTTTGAGAGTACGTGGGACAGCCAGAGACTGGGCACACTGGGAGAACTGAGAACAGCTGTGAACCAGGGCGCTGGTGAGAGCTGCAGAACCAGGAGGGCCGGCTGACTTTCTGCTTTGGTTTATGGGCAGTCCTCCTCAAGCTCCTCTCAGTGAGTATCCGCCAGCCCTGGCAGAGGCAGAAAGGGGGCAGCACAGGTCTGCTGGATGTGGCAATTACCTGAGTAGGGCTGGACGTTGACCCCCCAGCTCTGGGGGTCCAGACCGTAGACCTGCAGTGCTCGCTTCTGACAGAGCAACTCCAGTTCATCCACGAACTCGGTCCCGCCATAATACCTGTGGGAGGAGAGCTGTGGCTGTGGTCCACAACTGGCTCCCACCTCTGTGCTTAGCACAGAAGCCAAAGCAACTCAGGGTGAGACAGAGGAACAAAACCAGAGAACGACTGAAATGCGTGTCCTGAACCCAACGCAGCTAACTGTCTGTCCCTCAGTCTCTCCACTGTCCAGGGTCAGACAAGAGCGACCAAGCCAGTGGTGTGACTTTAAGTAAGGATCTCTTCATCTGTAACGTTCTGACACATGCTGTCTGGAGGAACTTGGAAGACATGACAACTATACGGTTTCCCTTCTATGAGCATCAGTCACAGAGACGGGAATGTACAACGGTGGTTATCTTGGGCTGGAGGGAGGAGGGGTGGGAGTTACTGGATTGTTCTTAACTTTGAATAAAATTTTACTTTTCTTTTTTTAAAGATTTTTTTATGTACACAGAACTGAGGTGCCAGCCAGAGGTGCAGAGGACGGTGAGAGGGTTCACCATAGTCAGAGTGAGGAGCAGAACAGGCAGATCAATGAAGTACACTGCTGAGGGGAGCAGTGGGTGGGTCAGGAGAGGTCTGCTGCGCCATGTGGGTCAGCTCCAGGGCCGGGCATCGAACTTGCACTGAAGTGGCCGTGGATAGCTTGCAGTGCTGCACCTTAATCCATTGCGCCACCAGGGAGGGCCAAAACTTTACTTTTCACTTAATATTATATGTCAAACTGTATCACACGTGTATGTTTTTTATTATCATATTAATAATAACTATCAGAAGCAATTTTTAATTTACACTTTGTCACAAATACTGTAACATTTAATTAGATATGCCTTCTTCTTACTATGGGAGCATACAACTCAGTAGTGTTAAGCAGCTCTTCCCACTGTTACGCAGCAACCCTCTAGAACTTTCTCATCTTGCAAAAGTGAAAACGCACCCATCACTTATCAGTCTCCTGCCTGCAGTCTGGTGCCACGATTCTACTGTGTCTGAATTTGACAACAGTCAGTGACTGGCTCAACTAAGTAGACTCCAACCGCATTTGCCTTTCTATGCTTCACTTATGATTATTCATCTACTATAAAAGCTTCAACAAAGGAGCTGCAACTGAAGAGTCATACAGGGTGAGGTGGGGGAGGCATGCCACCCTCAGCATCTTGACTGTTCAAGCCGCAGGCCTCTCCTGACCGGTAATATTTGATCTTTTCCTGGTGACCAGCCCGGAGGCCATCTAGGAGCCCCTCCAGAGTCACCTTATTAGCATAAACAGGTGGGCAGAAGGGCCCGTGTGAGTAACAGCAGACACTCCTATCACTGTGGAATCCCGAGGCTTTGGAGCTCACTGCCAGGAACCAGTGACGAGGAGCAGACACTGACTTTTGGTTTCGCCAGGGTGTGAGCACCTCTGGAGGACCCCCAGCTGTGCTACTTGTGCACAAACTCAAGAGTCAAAGAACCAGACTCCCATTTCTTTAAAATGTGGAAGCCAGCACCCTCTCTTCTACTTGGTTGTTGCAAAGATCAAATGAGATGCTAGTTGTGGAAACACCATTTGGGGCAGGAAAAAGACCACCTCTTCTGGCCCTCCCTGGTGGCGCAGCGGGTTAAAGCGCAGCACTAAGAAGCTTAAGCCACTTCCCCATGAGTTCGATCCCCGCCTGCCCCGGAGGAGATCCACATGGCGCGGCAGACCTCTCCTGACCCGCCCGCTGCTCCCCTCAGCAGTGTACTTCATTGATCTGCCTGTTCTGCTCCCCACTCTGTCTCTGGTGAAGCCTCTCACCCTCTGCATCTCTGGCCTATACCCCAGTTCTGTCGAATAAATAAATCAATCTTTAAAAAAAAAAAGACCACCTCTTCCACTTGGTTCTCAGCCCTTCCCCAGGGGCATCACAGGAGAGGAGATAGTTCAATTCCAAAGGTGACCCTCCTTTTGTCTGTGTCCTTTGGGCACAAATGTATACATTTGTGAAAAACCTCAAGGTCAAGTTCTGTGATCATTATTTTTACCTGTCTTCACAGACAAAAATGAAATATAACTTCTTGAGGTTGTCAGGCTGAAATCACTGCCTATGTAATCAACCGTATCAAGGACCCTGGATTCAGTTTTCTCCTCTGATACATATTTGATGACTCCCATGGCAGCGACAACCTTTCATAGATTGGTCACTCAGAGAACTGGCCATTTTCTATAGAGGGGCTGGGCCAACAGTCTGGCAGCTTCAAACTCTTAATGGACTGGCCTGCTATTCTAGAAAGCTCCAGTGGGACTGAGAATACTTGCTATAGTATACTAGTGGTATCATATGCTGGCATCGTAAGAGTTCTGTCAAAGAGCAGAAGCAGAACTGAAATATTTAACTGGAGACTTGCCTACCTTTTGAAACATCCACACTGTTTAGATCTCATACTGATTTAGTACCTCGCATCACTACGTCAGAAGCAGGCCGTTGCCAACCCTCCCATACCTCTGGCCTGGGTACCCCTCAGAATATTTGTTATTTAAGCACGAGCCAAGGGCTTCCAAAACTGCTCGGCTGGCAAAGTTCTCTGAGGCGATGAGCTCCAACCCAACTTTCTGCCGGTTACTCTCCTTCTTAATGATGTTGTAAACCTGAAGAGAAGAAAACAGACACTAGACACCTGGGCATTGGAGGTTAATGTTTTGTTCTGATCGAAGTGGTAACCTAGGAAGAAGTATCACAATCACAGAAGAACTTCATAACTCAAGTGATCAAACCAAGAAGACTAATGTAAGAGAGGATAGGGGAAATCTTCCTTGAAGATTTAAGCATCTGGAATGCATTAAAAGAAGATAACAAATTAAAGAAAACCACATGATTGAAGAGAAAATAATCTTCAAAATAAGTATCCCACTTATTTTGGTTCTGCACCTTCCTGTTTTCATCTCTGTATTTCACCAAGTTTCTCCCTCCAAGAACCTTATCCCTTGTTCCTCTCCCTTAAGATAAAAGTTGGATAAATTCAGAGACAGAAGTAGACACATGGCTGCCTGGGTTGGAGAGTTTGGGGTTCCTCAGTGTGATGGCTAATTGGCTTGACCTTTCTTTCTAAAATTGATTGTGAATATAGTAAACACCAATAAGTTGGGCACTTTAAATGGGCATTTTGTATGATCAGTGAATGCTAGCTACCTCATGTATAAAGCTGGTATAGAACTACATAAATGAAAGAAGCTTCTCAGGGTCTCGGGGAAAGCTAAATGTGGCTCCATCTCAATGACCCCTCCAGGTCGCCAGTCCAGGGCTCTGCACTTTGTAGAGAATCAGGAATATGTAAATTTACCCCCAATGGACTTTTAGCTTTGCCAGCCACTGCTCTAAATATGTCATTCGTCTTCTGCTGGCAAGGCTGTCTGGAGCAAAGTTGATTTGGGATTAGGAACAGAGACTGCAACAGCCCTTTCGATTTAGGGGCTCTCTGTGAAGACCCCACAAATCTCACCTCAATGTCACTGTCTCGCAGGGGCTGCGCCAGCATTTTATTGTGGGAGGACCACAGGTCGGCGTCCTTGTGAGCCCCATTGACTGGAACTGCCATTACGTGGGTCCAGAGGTGTCTGCAAATGGGAAAACGCCCACTATTAAATTCAGTCAAAGCTCACCACCCCAAGACTACCTGGCAAACAGGGCGATACTCTACTGCAAAGTCACAGTGTGGGGCTCCTGGCTCAGTGTGTTAGGAAGTAGAGTCGCCCTCTGGGAGACTGATGTATGGAGAGCCCTGCACCACTCCTTCTGAACAAAACTTTTCCTGTTTAGAGCTCATTTCCCTAACTAAACTAAATCCCTGGAGCCAAGACCAAGCATCACTTTCCTTTTTTAAATCTCCCACACGTGGAGGTGACATGGAGCACCCAGCAGGAAGAGTTGCCAAATGACTGAACAAATGAACTGTTGACCAGCCTTAGTTCTTCTACTTTCTTTTCTTTTCAAAGATGTATTTATACTTACAGAACTGGAGTACAGGCCAGAGGTGTAGGGTGTGAGAAGATTCACCAGAGACAGAGTGGGGAGCTGAACAGGCAAATGGGCTAAAGTACACAGCTGAGGGGAGCAGTGGGTGGGTCAGGAGGGGTCTGCTGCGCCATGTGGGTCAGCTCCCTGGCCAGGGATCAAACTTGTGCTGCAGATGGCTTCATAGTTATGTGTTTTAACTCACTGCAGCACCAGGGAGGACCTGTTCTACTCTTCAAACCCAGAAAATGAAACTCAGGCCCTCCCTGGTGGTGCAGCGGGTTAAAGCACAGCACTAGGAAGGCATCCACAGCCACTGCAGCCTGAGTTGGATTCCCGGCCAGGGAGGTGACCCACATGGCAAAGCAGACCTCTCCTGTCTCGCCAGCTGCTCCCCTCAGCAGTGTATTTCAGTCAGTCTGTTCTGTTCCCCATTCTGTCTCTGGTGAATCCTCTTATCCCCCCCATACCTTTGACCTGTACCCCAGTTCTTGTATGCATAAATAAAGCTTTTAAAAAAGAAAGTGAGCCTCAGTAAAGCATTACATAGTGCTGGAAATCAATGTGACCTGAAGCAATAAAAATTTCAAGAGAAATTTTTAAAAAGTCAAGTATTATGCAACCCCTAGGGCTGTATAATAAGTTGGCCATGAAGGTCAGACTCTAAAGTCCAACAGACATGCTCTAAGTATCCCACAGAGTTCCTGTATAAAGAGTGAGAGAAAGAACATGCTTGATTGAAATTACAGATAATTATAGGTCAAATTTGCATGTCTTTTTTTCATCAGAAACTGCTACCATTGAAATACAGCTGAAATGTTCTGTTCCTTAAAATAGGCTTCCACCAAGAACAAGAATTTGTGATCAGTGTCAACTTCCCTAGTGGGAAAGTTAGATAAATATTTACAGGAATGAATCTCCCTTAATCAAACACTTGCAGCTTTTCAGTAATTTTGTATTCATTTGGCTAAGTTTTTTAAAATTCATTAATTCCACAAGTGTTTACTGAGATTCTCCCTATGAGGACGATGCTGGGAGTACAGTGGACAGTGAGAGTGAGACGAGGGAAGTCCTACCCTACTGGGAAGGTCAGCAGCAAACAGAACACGCGCACCGAGAACAGGAGTCTGAAGAGCAAAGTGCCAGGAAGGACAAGAACTAGGGACATAGGGAGACAAACTGCTCAGGAATACAGAGAAATAATAAGACAGATACTGCTTTCTGCTCCTGAAGCCCTTGCAATTTCCCACGTGATAAAGGACCTAGGAACAGCTCTTGTTCTAGTATTTGTTCTCTGCCCTGTTCCCGTGGATTTCCAGGGGGACAGTGGTGTCTTTTGTTCTAATGAGGTGACTCTTTGTGGATCCGGGGTAGCTGTGGGATAGATTTGGTCACCAGCAAGACCAGGCCATGATTAGAAGCTTGGAATTTTCGATTACATGTCCCACTTTCTGGAGAGGGGTGGAAATGACGTTAATGATTCATCATGCCTACGTGAGCAATCCTCAGCTAAACAACAAGGGGTTCAGAGACTCCCAGGTGGGTGAATGCCTCCACTTACTGGGAGGACAGTACAGCCCAACTCCACAGAGACAGAAGCTCCCATGCTGGGCACCCCCTTCCCAGGTCTCCCACCATGTTGTACCTCTTCATCCGGCTATACAGCTGTATCCTTTATCACAGCCTAATAAACTGGTCAGCGTTACTGTTTCCCTGAGGTCTGTGAGCTTCTCTGGCAAATAATCAGTTCAAGGCAAAGGAGACTATGGGAACCTCTGATTTGTATCCAAGTTGAGCAGAAATTGTGGAGAACCTGGGGCCTAATACCTGTGACTGGTACCCAAAGTGGGAGTTTGGGCTTCCCTGTGGCACAAGGGGTTAAGCCTCAGCACTACCAAGCAATCACCAACCACTGCAGCATGAGTTCCGTCACCAGCCAGGGAGCTGACCCACAGGGCACAGCAGACCTCTCCTTTCTCGCCCACTGCTCCCCTCAGCAGTGTATTTTAGTGGATCTGCCTGGTCTGCTCTCCACTCTGTCTCTGGTGAATCCTCTCACTCACTGCACCTCTGGCCTACATCCCCATTCTTGTATGGATAAATAAATAAAACAAATCTTTAAAAATAAACAAAACCATGAGATTAAAGCAAAACAAAGTAGGAGGCAGTCTTGCAGGATTGACCCTTAACCTGTGAGGTCTATGCTAATTCTGGCTAGTGTTAGAACTGAACTGAATGAAAGGACATCCAGCAGGGTCAAAGAAGTGCTTGTTATGGAAAAGCCCCATCTGATGTCAAAACAGTGTGAGTGTGATAGTGATAGTGGTGTGGGAGTAAAAGTGAGACACAGAAGGAAGAACATAGTTTTTCCCTGTACAAGAGCACACAGTATAATTTACTAGCTAAATATACCTTTAAATAAAATAGCCTAATAGCCCCAAATCACAGTCTTCCCTAATCTCTGGTAGTGCTAATAAAAAGAAACTATCAATAACCTTTGAGAAATTCTTAATTGGAGCTTTCAAAGCAACCATTATATTAACACAAGCACATCATTAGATTGCAGCCATGCCTGCAGAATGCAAAGCAACATTAGAAGCACTTGAACTTATATGCCAGGAACATTTCTGCAGCAAAAGCAGTTCCACCTTGCTGAGGGCAATGACCTCGAATGTGGCCAGTTGTGTCCATGGACTGGGCATTGTGCCTAACAGATCTCCATGTTCAAGAACGGCCAGTGCAAGTCAAGGACCTCTGCATTGGCCAACCCTAAGTCCCTGGCAAATGGCCAACCACAAAAAAGCATGAACTTTTCTATCACGTTTTTTCAGAACTGTGATCAAATACACACAACATAAAACTGCCCATTTCTAAGGACACAACTCAGGGACATTAACTATGTCAACATTTGTGTGCAAACATCACCAGTCATCTCCGAAGTGTTTCATCTTCTCAAACTGCAATTCTGTGTATCCGTTAAATAATTCTCCAATCCCTTCTCTCCCTTCCTGGTAACAAATATACTTTCCATTTCTATGAATTTGACTATTTCAGGTCACTCATGTAAATCATGTAAATCAGATATTTGTCCTTTTGTGTCTGGTTTATTTCATTTAGCATAGTTCTTCAGAAGTCACCATGTTATATTGGATATCAATTTCCTTTTCAACACTGAGTAATATTCCACTGTATGCAATACCATATTTTGCCTATTCATTTACTTGTCCATGGACACAGGTTGCTTCAACCTTTTAGCTACTATGAATAATGCTAATATGAACATGTGTGTGCAAATATGAAGTCCATGCTTTCAATTCTTTAGAGAATATACTCAAAAGTGGAGTTGCTGGATCATACTAATATTCTGCTTAATTAAAAATGAGATTTTAAAAAATATTTATTTATTTATGCATACAGAACTGGGGTCCAAGCTAGAGGTGCAGGAAGCAGTAAGAAGATTAACCAGAGACAAGAGTAGGGAGCAGAACAGGCAGATTGATGAAGTACACTGCTGAGGGGAGCAGTGGGCAAGAGAGAAGAGGTCTGCCATGCCACATGGGCCACCTCCCTGGCTGAGTATCGAAATCCCACTGCAGTGCCTGCGGAGAACCTCACAGTACTGCACTTCAACCTACTGATCCACCAGGGAGGGCCCAAAATAATATTTTGATGTTGATGAGTTTTATTCCACTGCTAGTACCCTACAATGAATTAATTCATTCCTTCAACAAATACTTACCGTGTAACTGCCATGACCCAGGTCAGGTAATTTCAAGAGGTGACAATTGCTATGAGAATATTTAGTGGGAGGTGTCTGAGTGGGATCTGAACTGTGGGAAGGCATCAGGTCTATGACATCTAAAGTGTTCCAGGCAGAGAGTAAGCAAGTGTAAAGGTTCCTAACATGGGAAAACCTTTGATTTCTCAAGAATAAGAATTTGGGCACCTGTGGCTGAAGCAAGCAGAGGCACATCAAGTGAGACTCAAAGACCCAAGGGTAAGATGGGTAAGATGGGATAGGAGACGAGATTTTCACCTTGACAGTGTGCATTTTACAAGTTTAAAACTATTTCCTAGAAGCTTTCGTCTTAAACTATTTTTCAACCCATCTGTGAACAGAAACTAACAATTAGAACAACCCAACTGAAGGATGTTAAAGTGCCCAATGAGTGGGTGGACACTGGACACCTGATTCTCCCACTTCCCAAGGTGAAGACCACAGCAGATGCAATAGTGTGGAAACTCACCACAGAGCCAGACTCAGGGTTCAAAGTCTACTCTTCACACCCTAAAGTGCAAGCCCCGTCACTGACACCTATGTCTGAGGCCCCTCACATAGCCCAGAAGTGGTAACAATGCCTAAGCTGGTTATGACATTCCAGTGCCCAAATTGGGCTAGCCACAGAGTACTTGAAGACTATCAACTATTATTCTTAAAGGAACTAGGGGCTTTAGGGCCACCTTAATTATCATTCAGTGACCCCTCCTGAGCCCTGGAGGGTTGGGGGGCTCACAGCTCACTGGTTACTGTCATACAATGCTGGATTTTTTTTTTAAGATTTATTTATTTATGCATGCCAGAACTGAGGCCCAGACCAGAGATGCTGGGGGTTCACCAGAGATAGAGTGGGGAGCAGAATAGGCAGATGTACTGAAATACACTGCTGAGGGGAGCAGCTGGCAGACAAGACAGGTCTCTTGGCAGGGAGGTGGATCACCTCCCAGGCCAGGGATTGAACTCACCCTACAGTGGCTGCAGATAGCTTCATACTGCTGTGCTTAATTAACCCCTTGGCCACCAGCGAGGCCCAATGCTGGACATTTCTGTATGGGAAATGTCACCCACGTGTGGCATGACCCTCACCACAGCCCCTGGGAAATAGACCTAAAATGTGAACCCACTTGTCAAGGTCACCAGATTCTCAACTCTTGTTTACTTTAGTTCCAAGCCCTTTCCTGTGATACTACACTAAAAACACCACATGTAATATATGCACTGTATGAACTTCCTTGCATGTTTCCTCAAGCAGGAAATAAAAAAAAAAAAAAAACCTTAAGAACTTAAACTGGTGTTTCCAGTCCAGCAACTGCCTGGCTTAAGTGTTGGGGTCATTTAACTTCCAGAACCTGGAAGCACAGGGCACAGAGCCAAAAACCCTACAGTTGTTTCTTAGAACACGGGGTAACAGTTTGCAGAGCCGCAGGGACCACGAGCACATGCAGAGAGTAGAAACCACAACTGCACAGGTTCAGAGCGTTGGTGTCGGGCTGAGCCACTGCCAGCTGCAGAGTCGCACCTGCTGGACTCTTCTCCGAGCCTCACCCCCCCTCATCTGCGCAGTGGGGTGATTGCACACGACTTGTCGTTTTGGTGTGAGGGGCGTCGTGGGGGCGTCGAGCTGCATTTAAACTTAAATTTCAAATGCTCACTGGGAACAGTGTTCCAGGAGAGGGCTGCTACTCGGCAGCCACAAGCCTTGCATCTGTGTCAAAGGCCGAGATCACCACCCCTGCTGCACCCATCTGCACCAGGCACAGGGCGCTCTGGGTTCGCTGCCTCCAGAGCCTTCACCCCAAGGACGAATAAAGGGTCCCTTTATCCAGTTCGGCTTCACAGCGGCGCAAAGGAAGCGAGGCCGCCCCTCGAGCGACCGGGACCTGCAGGCCCAGGGCCCCGAAATCGCCCACCTACCAGAACGAGTCCCGCGCACAGCCTAGCGACGCTCCGGCCTCACGCCACCGCCGGGGAGACCAGAGTCCAAGAGCGCGGGTCCAGGTCCTGCTCGCGCCCGCCGCCACGTGACCGCGGAGGGAGCCCGGAGCCCTAAACTGGCGCAAGGGGTGCACCTTCCACTCCCCGAGCTCCGCGCGCCCGGCCCAGGCCCCGCCCCGCCCCAAGGTCGTCCAATCAGAGCGCTCAGACCGGCAGCCCGCCCCCAGGAAGGCGCGGCCTTATTGGCTGCGGCAAAGCAGGGGGCGGGCTGGCTCCCCGGATTCGGGGAAGACCGCGTGGTGCAGCTGCTCACCTCTGCTGCTGGACCCCTGGCCTGCATACGGCCGGCCAGTTGGGCGCTGGCCGCTCTCCAAGGAGGCAGAGGTTTATGGGAAGACAGTGGAGGGGACCCAGTTAACTTGGCTCGGCGGTGGGATTAGGGGTGAGATTTGTTCCAGGTATTTAACTTTTATTTTGTTTAGTACGATTTAACTTTTACGTTGTTTAGCACAGTGAGCGTTTAAATAGGACAAATGCAGCCAAACTCCCACACTGTTATTCTGTGCATAAGGAAGCCTAGTCCGGTCACTCCGTTTTTTTGAGTCTCAAGTTTCTTCCCTTTGGGTTTGGTATTTGAAGGCAATTTCTGTCTGGCAAGGCTGTCAGATAATAGACATGTCCAAAAAAAAAAAAACAAAAACAAAAAACAAAAACCAGCATTGTACCCGGCATCTAATAAGAGTTAGGTAAATACTGCCATTGTTGAGAATAATAAAAACCCTGGGACACATAATGTAGGGGAAAGGGCTGACAAAGGTTCTGTCTGTGACGAAACTCAAGGCAGGCTCTCCTGAACCCCGTTTCAACTACTTCTGGTTTTGGATTTCCGTGTTTATCTTTGCGTTGTTCAATTTTAGCAAGAATCCTGCTAAAATCAATTTAACCAGAACACACCCCCTAACAACACACCCTCCAAATCTAATCGGATTCTTCGTTTGTCGACCATCACCCTGTGATGTTTGATCACCCTGGCCTGGTCAGTTTAGCCAGAACTCCCCTTAGCTCTGATGCTTGCTGTGAGTAGTGTTCTGCCACAAATCTGACTCTGCCCTATGGCAAAAATTACCACCAACCCCTACCATAGTCACAGCTGAGCTCAGTTTCTTTTTTCCCAAGTTTTCATCACTGAAATCCCATATTGTTGAAACAGCACCCCCCCACACACACCCCTGCCCTTGAATAAAATCTCAATGTTCCACTAAACATTTTTTCCCTTTAACACCTCCTAATCTTTCAGGCCTCAGTTTACTACCACAACTTAACAGTATTATGCTATTACACTACCAAGCATTTTCCAAAATGTAACAAATGTGGCTAGTGTGACAGTGAGTTGGTTCAAAATTGATTCCGAAAAGTCCAGAGAGAAAGACAATGAATCAGGACTGAGTTGGGACCCCTAAGAATTCAGAGGAAGAACTATTATTTCCAGGTGAGCCTCAAACTCAAATATATATATATATATATATAGAGAGAGAGAGAGAGAGAGAGAGAGAGAGAGAGAGAGCG